TATTCTTCTGAGTTAGAGAATGCTATGTTTTTCCTGGCCTGACGGAAGTTGCTATTTTTCACACCAGTCAAGCAGATTACTGAAATCAGGTTGAGACGTTGATGGGCCTCCAGCAGTTGCATCGTAATGGAAACTGAGCCCGAACTTAAAGATACTACACGTCCTCCATAAATGGCAACCTTAAGTGTATCAGCAATACGCCTCACTGTTCACCAGCGAAACATCCACTGGAACTCATCGACTCACACAATATAGAAGTAGGAATTTCGACAAACTATTTAGGAGAGCTGTCGATCAGATGTATTTTTTTATGCACTGTTTAGTTTTGATGGTGAGATATACTGACAGAATGATGGGATTGTAATGAAAGTCCCACTGGGGCCCCTAGTGGCAGTTTACTTCATGTAAAAAAATTCTATTTTCAGCCGAACTATTAGACATATTGACGTCTATAAACGATATACGGATGATATATTCGTTATTAGCGACTCAACTATCGATCTGAAATGCATTCTACACGAGTTGAACGATTTTCACCCGGCGTTGGAACTCGGTATTGAAAAGGAACTGGAATCAGCTTTTCCTTTCCTTGACATGCTGACTACGAGACGCAAAAGTAGGATGCTGAAAAGATCCATCCGCAGGAAATCCACATGGAGTGGACGGCATACAAATTCCTATAGCTGGGTGATCATGAGGAAGAGAAGCCTCATTCACCCTATCTGCCATCGAATAAGTAAGTTTTGTAGCACGAAATGTGTTCAACTCGAACTTCACTTTCCGAGAGGCACGCTCGCGGAAAAAGGCTATCCTAACCGATTTATCGATAAGAATATACGAGAAAGACATTCCGAAACGATCGCCAGCTCAGATTCTGAAAGGACTTTGTTCATGAATCTGCACCTCAAAGGTTATGCAGCAGCAGACATCCCGAAAAAGTTTCTTCCCATATCCCCACCCAAACTTAACTTGGTCCTTACCAGTCGTAAGTTGTTCTGCGTCCGTATAAAGGACATTATACCTCGACGGACCACATCTATGTGTATCTACCAGTTCACCAGCTCCTACGAGGCAAGATGCACTGGCCGTATTCAGAGATTGCTGCCAATATGTATACGAGAACACATTCGGGCCTGGTCTTACAGGGGTGAAAGGAAATGGATCAGAATATCCATCCTTGAGCACTTACTCAATGCCAACCATCCAACCGACTCAACCAAGGATTTTAAGGTTGTCTATCTAGTTCGCTAAAACACCTCACGTTTCCTCCATGTTCAGCTTCTAAAGACGGGACAGGCCTTGGCTATCAATGAACTCAGGCCTGACCTTTGCGTGCAAAAGAAGTATATATGGTCTTCGTCTCTACCCTAACCTTAATTTATTTTAGTCTTGGTGAGCTTCGTCCCCTTTATTCGCTTATCACGCCTCTTGTTTGTCAGAATAATCTATATACTCTTATATCACTTGATGTTTAGAATCAATTGTTACCGGTGTTATTTCATTTGATCTCCCTGACAATCACAACGTTTAACAAAACATCTTCGGTTTATTCCAGTTAACTTGCCTCACTAACATTGCCTGATACTTTGGTTTTTTACTGACTTTCTCACCCTTTTAATCTATACGTACCCTGTAAACGACTTAAAATCCTACAAAACCCCTTATGTCATCATTCGAACTTAACGTCAACAACCAGCAACATTACCGCTATCACCACCACTATAATTTTTTAACCCCCTCCCATTAACCAAGTAAAGCCTTTCACACGGATTACAGTCTCTAAGTTTCTTATATATACCACTGTAAAGCCTGAGAATAAATTCCTTGAAAAGACTTCTCTTCGCCAAATATCTTGTTTTTGATGCCACAATTCACTGTACCAAGCCAATTGTAATTGGTCGAGAGTCTGAAAAGCAACCTCTTATTTTAGCCATATGAGAACGCTGAAGAAGAAGTTGACCTGACTTCGTGAGCAGCCTGAGATAGAGCCCCTTATAAAGTGTCTTCTTGGAGCTTAAAAACAGTGCCTCAACAAAAATCCATCGATCACGTTTCCGCGTGGCACGTTTAAGGTAATTTAACATGCAGATACTTCAGAATCTGGTTTTTATGAGCCCGTCTTGTGAAGTCAGAAATAATCATTTATTAAACGGGTCATCCACAACACTATTCTTTATAATTTTCCCCACCACCTTAGAATCCCCGGCGTCAGATTGATTGGGGGTAATCAACTTTTAGTATTTGTCCTGGTGCGAACTTGACAGACGCAAAGACCAATCACTAATTATTCGGACCTGTTATATGCCCACGAATACGAGACCAAGGAAGAACACGATAGCGTAGTCGGATGGAATAGTATATTTGGGTGGTTGTGTCAAGATACCGATGCGTTCCAACTAACTGGCTAGAGAGTCGATTACGAGCAGTGCAACGTAACACGACAGTGTGCCAAACGGTGAGGATACTTGACCGGGTGCCCTCGACTTAGCGAGTCCAGTTAAACCATCAAGGCCAGTGTCAATGTTGAATGTCGTCGAGCCCTAGGCTATTGATTTTGGGAAGTGTGTGACGTTACACATCACTCCCCCCTAGTGAGTTCGTGGGGGCCCTACGACGATGCCAGCCGGAAGTAAAAACCCAGTGGTTTCTCCACTGGTAAGACTCTTCCAACGGGCTCACTGCGTGAAGTGACCCCTTGGTTATCTGAACTTATTCTGGGGTGTCGTGGCAGGTGAAAAATAAAATACAGTAAATCGAATTGTGCGTCGGTCGCGGCCCTCAGTTTCCTAAGACGTTCCGTCCAGTGCTCGTTGCACCTAGAATATAAATTAAAGTCTGTAACACCACGAAAAAGTTTCGTAAAAATGGGAATTGTGTATACGTAAATATGTCGAAAATAAAGTTTGCGCTTATTTTCACCGTCTTTTTAAAAGTTTCGTTGCATGGTAATAACAATTGACACATGTTTGCGGCTGAAAGGGAAGCTTTCAGCTGTCGATGGAAACGCTCTACCATGCCATTTGCTCGTGGATGGTAGGCTTTTGTTCGGAACCGGGTGCAACCCAAAAGTGCAGTTAGAGCGTGAAATAATCCACACTCGAATTGTCGCCCACGGTCGGTTGTGACGTAAGATGGACATCCGAAGTTCGCGATCCATCTTTCGATGAAAATACGAGCTACTGTTTCAGCAGTAACATCCTTAATAGGTACCGCTTCCAGCCTTCGTGTGAAACGACCCACACGAGTGGAAAGGTAAGCACATTGATCAGATTCTAGTAAGGGCCCTACAATATCTATATGGGCGTGGTCGAAACGCATGTCTGGGGCTAGAAAAGAGCCCAAAGGGCTTTTCGTGTGTCGCGTGACTTTGCACTTTTGACAGGCTAAGCACGACCGGGCCCACTCCTTAACGTCTTTGATCATCCCAGGCCAGCAGAGACGTTGTGCAATAAGCCTGATGGTGGCTCGTACACCTGGATGGGAGAGTTTGCACAACGTATTGAAGACGTTGCGTCGACAACTCTTCGGAACTGTTGGACGTGGTTGACTAGCAGAGACATCGCACAAAATTGTATCCCTGCCTGACCCAACCGGACACAGTCTCAGCCTGACCGTTGTAGGTGGATGTGGATGCAGCTCAAGGTCTTCCTTTCAACGCCGAGCTAGTCCAACGAGATTAACGTCCTCGATATGGTTTATCGAAGCTATTCGAGATGGTGCATCGGCTACGGAGTTATTTGCTCCAGAAATGTGGCGGGCGTCTGACGTGAACTGGGAAATGTAATGCAGCTGTCGCGACTCACGCGGGGAGTATTTTTCAGACGCCAAGCTGAGGGAAAGGGTTAACGGTTTGTGGTCTGTGGGAATGAAATCACGACCTTCCACTGAATGTCGAAAGTGACGTGCAGAACAGTACATAGCTAGGAGTTCCCTACCAAATGTGCTGCATCTTGTTTCCACGTCTTGCAGCCACCTCGAGAAAAAGGTTGGCGGTTGCCACTAGTTGTCAGCCAATTGTTGCAAAACTGCTCCAACTGCTGAGCCAGGTGCATCAACAGCAATACTCAGAGGAGCATTGGGGTCGTGGTACTTGAGTATGGTTGCGTTCGGAATAGCTTCCATGACTTTAAAGAAAGCAAGTCTAGCCACGCTGTCCAGAGTCACGAACTTCATAGTCCCCCGAAGTAGATCTGCCAGTGGTCTCATGACAGAGGCACAGTTGGGGATAAACTTTTGGTGATAACTTACCAGACCATTGAAAGTGCGGAGATGTTGTTTATTTTTCATATCAGGAAAGCAGTATGAAAGAGCAGGGGTAAGTTTCAATAATTATGTGAGTGATAATACTAATATAAAATCGGTGCACCGGAGGATCGTTTATTTAACCTTCAGAAAGAATTCAAACTAGGCGAAATTAGATGAATATAACTTGAAATCTCCTGCCTCTAATCATTCCAGTTCCTAAGACAAAGAAAGTATCATAGAAGTACTAGACTAAACATATTTGAGAAACTGCATTTGGTCCATAACCTCAACATTAAGCCACACTTATAGTAGTAGAAATCTAAACACCATCAAACTTAATATAGGTTAATCAAAGTCTGCATATCTTCACTTGCTATCACCTCTGTTAATTATTTTACAAGGCCACATGATTGACTAAGGATGTGATATAGTTCTGTTTCACAATGGGCGACTTTCTCAAACTCAGATTAGATATAATCCTTGAAGAATATTGGTCTGTGACTGGGAAATTACTCAACTATAATGGTGAATAAACTATGAACTTTAGCAAATAAATGCATATTTTAACAAAAAATGAAAACAGAACGTTCAATATCCAATATTGTCAGGTTTATTTAAAAATATAATATTTTTACTTAAGTTGATTTGTCACATTTCAAGAATTTTTCTAGAAGACAAAATATATATTGAAGAGCCTGAAAAATTCTGTAATACTTAAGACATAGTCAAGAAAACTAATAACATGATTTATGAACTTACTGCTGCGTTTCAGCAAATTCTTTGCATAGTTTAGCTTTATTTTTAACTTGTAGTAGTCGTTTCTTAAGGCGACTCTCTGAAGATTCATTAACCGTGTTTGAATTTAAAGCTTTAACTAAAACCTTATAAGCTTCATTTAATGCACCAGTGGCTTTTTCATAATTTCCACCATCTTCAATTTCACCCTTTCAATTAAGAATAAATAAGGCAGAATATGATTAGTTTAAATGATTATATATATATATATATATATATATATATATATATATATATATATATATATATATATATATATATATATATATATATATATATATATATATATATATATATACTCCTCATAGATACCCAAACGAAGATAGGATTTGGTGGTTTGAAAAAATTTGGGCACTGGGCAAATGATACTCATTATTCTAGTATTTGCATTTCCCAATGAATGTAAAACAATAAATTTGTTTCAATTGGTGTTTCACTACTTAATGCTAATAGATTCACCAAAGTTATAGTAAACCGGAATTTACAGTATCCAGGCTTATATATGATAATTTGGTAGGTACTCTTCTGCATGAATGATTTTGCGAGGAGAGTGTATGAATTACAGATTGAGATTAGTATGTACACGTGTGTTGATAATTCTTATCGTATCTATGTTGGTTATGTCAGTATGTGGGGTTGGTTTGAGACCAGATCAAACTCCGTTTTATTGCCTCATTCCTATTTAGAGAGTTTTGATCCCACTTAAAGTGAAGAGATTCTGCTATGAGACGTTCTTTATAATTTCCCAAAACTTTTCTGAACAATTTCGATATTGTCAAAATTGACCTGAACTTATGGTGAGTAGACTTATGGCTGAAGTGTTTTCAAGTTTTTTTCAACTCCATTGGATTCGTAGGATGTCGAGTGGAAGCTTTTTGGTGCTAATTTTGATTTCACGAAAGTCAGTTTTATGTATACTCCAACGCTATCTGAGGATCTTATTTTATAAACACAATTAAATCGTGAATCCAAAGAGACCTCATCCTCCACATAGAACTAGGTGCTCTGCAATGTGTTTGATGTTCTGTAGAACACTTTGATACTAAATTTGTTGAAGATTCTCCTAATTTCATTCGGTGTGTATGATCTTTATGGGATGGGTATTGTTGAGGTCTATGAGTAAGGAGTAGTTTATCATTTAAATTAATGTTATTTTCTATGATGCAAATGAATTTTACCGGTACTTAAAATGAATAATTATCCTAGACCAAGGGTCACAACAACAGTCATCCATAGGGATCATAAACATGATAACCCTTCAACTCACCAATTATACTCATTAATTCATGAACAAGACATGTATCGGCGAAGAAATATTTCTTTTAAATAGGATGATAACCTCTAAACATGACGTTATGGGATTCATATGACCATTACCACTGAGGTGTTTAATTATTGTACTGCTTATGAAGTCACTACCATGTTTTTGGAATAATATAGGATGCGTTGAACGACCAATATTTTCAGATCCACATGAACAAGCAAACTGTTATACACACATACAGATGGTCAGATGTCAGACCTTATCCCTTCGGTTGTTAGAAAACAGTAAGCAACTGGCGAAGACTACTGAGGTTGCTTTGAAGAAATTTTTTAGTAAAGTGGGAAATCCTTTTTGGAGTATTCGTAACCGGATAACCTTCGAATTCAAAGTTATATCACAGCATCTGCAATGAAGTGAGGCGATTGCTTTGAAGCTTGGACGTGATTTTTTTAGTCTGCAAACCGAGGTGGATATCCTGTTTAGGCCAAAATGTTTTGTAGAAGGTGAATTTCATCTAAGGTGTCAGGTTTGCAAATACAACAAATGCACATCGCAAGAGACATAATTGAGTTTCTTATGCCACCGATAAGAATTCAAATAAAGAGGCATGTCAGTTGACCATACCATGTACGCTTTCTGTGTATTAAACTCATCAAGGTTCCATGTCTTTCTTGCTAATGTCATGTCAAGAAAGGGAATATTTGGTTTACTTTCTACTTCAAGTCCAAACTTTATTGTTGAGTAGAAGCTTTCAAATACAGGTAGTACATGACTGGATTTACATTTGTTGTTGCATATGATAAATTATCATCAACATACTTTGTCTACAGTTGAAGATAACTGATTGCTGATTTTAGTTAGTAATTTCCAAGATTTGCTATCAGTCAGCCTGTCAGTATTGGGCACACTGTGTCGTTGAATGTGATCGAACATTAGCTGTGACTTCAAATACTAGTTCTTTCAAGTATGTAGTTTGCATTCCAATATCCAATCTTTCATATGCATAAAAAGCAAATACTTTCCCTAAGTGGAATATTGGTAAAAAGTGGTTCCACAGTAAGAGATATCAAGTTTGTTAGAAATATTCATATCCTTAATGCAGTCAACGAATTCGAAAATATGAATGAGGCAGAAATACAGATATGTTTAAGCCAAGTTCCAGAATGCCAGTTAGACAGTTCCTGATGAAATAGGAGATCCAGACATCCCAAATCAGGTGAATAGACAGGTCAGATTTATGCATTAGTGGTAATCCATAAGTTTGTGTTATTATAGAACGCGTCAGTTTAATTTCTTTGTAAAGGTCTCTGCTGATTAATTGGTCAGTCCTAGTTCTTCGTACAACTTCACTAAGTTGCTTCCCAACTAGTTATGTTTGATTTCTTCCGTTAGTATCTTTCAAGAATGCACTGAGAGTAGATTTCAGGTTTCATTTATATAAGTTTTACGGTCCTTCAGAACTACGCCTGTACCTTTCACAGGATGTGTTATTAGTAAACTATTGTTGCATCTCAATTGCTTAAGTTGTTTTCCATGTCAAGTGTTTTTCAAAAGCCATGAATCTTTAGTTTTCTGTTGGGATACTGATGACAATAGTCAAGTATAGTTGACCTAAAACGTTGGGACTCGTTTTCAGAGATCGTGGTGATATCACTGGTTTGATTGATTAAATTCCAAACTTTACATATGTATAGTTTTTTTAATATTCTGACGTCATGGAGTTTCGAACACATAGACAAAGCTTCAAAACACAAAATGAAGAAAAATGCTTTGAAGTGGTTAAATCTCAACTGGCTATCGGGGAGTGTACGACGAATTTCGATTGATTCAAGACTGATAAGTTTGGATTGAACAGCTTGTTTTAGCTAACTGCTACTGTCGGCGACATTCAGTAAACATGTGATGTTCGTCATGTGACAAATCGTATAAAGCTCAGGATCTCTAGGAAATATTTTGCTTTACATTTTGGAAGCGTGAGGGAATATAGTCAGTGTCGCATAGGATACAGTTAATTTTAGGAAATATGTGATTTCTCTGAAGAGCCTTCCGAAACCACTTTGCATATTTTTACGATTTCTTTATCCACTCAATTAGGAAATGAATCTCTGCACTCACTCCAGTTAGATTGTTAGAATAACGCAAAAGTCTGTTGAGTTCATTCTCAGTCAAAATGTTCTTGTTACTTTTTAATGTACGAAAAATCTTCATCACGTCATACAAGGCAATGAAAAATAGTTAAAAGTAGTTATCTGATCTAGATAGCATCTTCTTAATTTCAAGTTTTAAAAATATATTCCTTTTTCAAAAATGGGTGGTTCAGTTTATTAGTCTCTTACAATTTCTGAAATTTTCAGGCTAAATCTATAATCGTAATTTGGATTTCAGGATTTATTAATTCAGAGCAAGCGCACTTAATTTATGTTTCATGACTTACGATTCTACTCTACTTTTGTTCGCCTATTTGTCTAGTCATTATTTTCCCTACACCATCACAATACTGTGTCCTGTGTTCTAACTGGAAACCAAATAAATTGAATTACATATGATGGCTGGAGATATTTCAAGTGTATGAAGACAACAAGACATTCACTTATACGAACTTCTGTATTATACTACTAATCATAAAAGTATTATGTAGTATCTGGTAAGTGAACACACCTAGTATCATTCCAACAAACGTACTGTTAACTCGCACTAAATGAACTGAGAGCTAGACTACTTGTTTATGAAGAAGACCTCCCATTTGTATTTATGTTCGAATAATCAAAATAGAGGGTAACACATGAGATGCGCTAAGTAACACCTAGGTAACTCTGTGGTATAATACTAAAATTTTAATATTTGAAGTGATTGTTACTGAGTTTCCAGGAATACTAAATTTTTCTGGGATTCAGATGCGCACTGCTGAAAAATCTCAAGTGTGATAAGGTAAACATCTTGAATTAGGCAGTCAGTCATAACCAGCAACTATTTATTTCAAAGTGATTTTCAGCAGAATTTATTACTAATATTTATATCTTAGTTTGGGACTTTCAAAATTGTGCAATCATAACTTTAATGGGTTCTGTTTTTATCAAAACCCAGTTGATAACGCGTTTCACTTTCGAAATGCACTAACTTCAGTTAATTTGAATTCAGTGGTTGAATAATAAATCTTATATCTTAAGGTTAAATAGAAGCATAGAAAGTAAAAACGAAACTGAAAATACCTGGGCACAAGCTTCATAAAATGATGCCAATGATTCCAATGCATGTCCGCGTGTATAAAATTGCACGATATTTCGCATTATATTCATATTCGACCGCCAATCATTCAATGTTTGTAAATAATTGGCAGCCATAACATAAATTTCCTTCTGTTTGCTAACATTTGCAAAGAAAACAACTTTTTCTGTATCACCTGATCGTAGCAATGATTTCATAGCTGACACACGGCTACCAGCTTGAGTGAACTTTTTACAGGCTAAATGATATTTTCCTTGTGTCAGGCACAATTCACCTAGTTCCACCAACAAGCTACATCTTTCTTTCTCAGTCAACTTCTCTGATGTCGGTGTTAGTTTTTCAGCTAACTCTTCTGAGATAGGAACATTATGGTCACCACACAATTTGAGGGCATCCCAATACTGTAAAAAACGAAAAGCAATAAAACATGCTATGCGAATCAATATTATGACTATATCTAAACCAGTCACAGACAGTTGCACCTATAGGCTTTTATCACCACCTCACATCCTTATGCAGATCGAAGCAAATTATGTGTAGTTTGAACTCATGGACTGATGGTTTTAGTTAATTACCGTGTAACCGCCTTATCATTTCCATAAGACTAGACAAATGTATTTTGAAAAAATACGATGGAAAATGGCGAGTGACTGCCGCATTTTATAGATCATACAGCCACTTCAATACATCTGCAGACGTCAACTAACGAATCGAGATAATATTAGCAAATTTCCTGCCTATCTTCTGAAATATCGAACTGTAACTATGTACTCGGCAGTGACCAACGGTGGAATCCAAGTTATGCAATCTTTCCTAACTGGAACCCACTGGAAGGATGTACTTTGATTAGACCTTAGTCCAGCACTCATCGTTTGAATAGCACAGCATTATCCATTTGACTGCTGAATTACAACAGGTGTATCTCGTTCAACAAGTTTAATACCTTAAGTTTGATCAATCTAGTTTCTGAATTCTGGGTCTGAACCAGCCCGTTTCTGTCGGCACTTGGGCTCTTTGCACAGCAGTCTAAATATTTCAGTGACCACTCTTATCAGGAAAAAACAAGATCATTAAATCAGCATGATATAAGCTTACTTTCTGGTTTTTCAGTTAAATGATTACTGAATACTCTTAAAAATAATAAAACGCATATTTTTCGATGGGACAAATGCAGCTAGTGACTGACTAGGGTGCACAGGAGAAATAAGCAAAGATACTATCATTACACTTAGTTAAATGTGTGCTTATATATATATATATATATATATATATATATATATATATATATATATATATTAAGTGGGAAGAATGAATGTGTTAAAACAAGATGAAGACTAATGGCTTAATTGTTGCCAACTCGATGATGTCTGTGTTAAGATACTTCAATGCTAACTTATGTATTGATAGTAACAATCACCATTTCATTCAGCACCTACATTAACAAGCGTTTTTATATCCAACCAGATTTCCCATTCATCGGCATTGAAACAACAGTATGTTGCATATTTTATTTCACATTATTTCTACTGATGTGATTATTTATGAGAGAACGACGCATAAAATGTAAGTAAAGTCTCTGTTGATACATGAATATCTCGGACGAGTGCTTTAATATTTCCCTTGACTGAATCGTGATTGCATTTGAATGTGGTAAACACTAAATTTCAGAGCTCGTACTTCATTACTTTAAGGACTCATCAGCCAAATAAATCCAAATCTCTTTGAGTGTTGACATCTGTGAGGCTGAAACACAGCAACAAAAGATACAATCAAAAAAATATCAATCACTACCTAACGACAAACTTCTTGAACTTTTATCATCGATTCTTACAGCTTATAATCTTTCCTACCGATGGTTTAGAGTTATGATTTCAGACGCAACAAGAATGATGCGAAGCAATAAGATGCAGTTGATAGTTCACAAGATGAAAAACATATCTCATATTACAAAGCTAACAACTACAGAATGTAGTAAAGTGAATTTGAATTATCTGATAAATCTTAATCAGCATACACAGATGAGGAAATCAGGCCGATTAGTTTGTTGTATACCCCATTTAACTTTATTCAAATTTCTTAACGAATACTGAATGTACATCAATATTGAAACTGATTTTGTTTATATACATTGGACAGTGAACAAAACTAAGTAATTACAGCTTTTTGAATCCTATGGTTTACCTGTTGTTGACGTGTATTCAATTGGCACCTATCGGTCAGGATAAAGACTGTAACATTCTGGTAAAACACTCGTGTTATCCGATTAAGGTTGGAACGCGTTTGGAACTAATATCACACCACAAAAGTGGTCACTATCAAAAAGTTTCTGACGTTTAACTGAGAAGTGTACACACTGAGGTATAATATTTTAACTGTTTTTAAATACTGAATTTCTTTGTCGATTTCATTATGCAATACTAAAACTTCATTCAAATTGCATCACAGTTCTGTTTTCCAAGGAATAATCAAGTGAGTTGTTATTTGTGATTTCTGGATGTTCTATAGAAGGTTTTAAATCTTTTCATGGTTTTTATTCTGCTCAGGAGGTTACTCATTATCGTTTTTGTTTTTAAATGCGGCAATTGAATGACAGTAGTATTTCTGAGATAAATATTATTGGATAACATCATTAACTGTAAATAGCTAATAATACAATAATAAAGGATTACTTGTTTTCCAGCTGCAAGTACTTCTACAGCTCGATCAAATTGATCATTTTGAATAAAAAATTCTGAACACTGTTTCAACATTATGGGATCAATTCGTTCATCCAAAGAACCGGCTACACTTTGTAAAGCAGAGAACTGACGTTTGCTAAATGCCAATTCAACAGCTCGATTAATATTTCCAGCTTTGTGATATAATAGAACTGCTTTACCTACGTAACTAGGATATTTTTCTAAATGCTTTGCCGACTCAAGCATATCATCCGGTCTTCCCAACTGAGCTAAACTAAACAGATGATCATTACGATTATGCTCCTGTAAGAAAATAAAATGATAACCTAGTAAAATGAGTGACTTGAAATTCGGCTTAAATGTTAAGCATCTTCTCAAGAAAAAAGTTGATTTATACCACGCTTTGGCATAAGAATTCAAGATTTTATTAGTTTCACCATTTGAGTGACTTTTAATTTTAGCAAAAGAGGATAGAGTTGGGTGACTATTTTTCTAAGCAAGGATTGGTTAATTTAAATTATACTATGGTTTTCTAATCAGGTCAAGTAATTTAATCCGTAAAGCACTGGATTATAGATCTGAAAACCACTAATTCGCACTCGGGTAGCGATTTAGGTTCCCTACCACTTTTGTCCATAACCTATACAAAAAGATCAAACATTAAATAGCTGGTGTTGTTCTGTTCTCCTGAAGATCTGTACCACATTTGACGCTAGATTGACTTTGTAAGCCTAAGTAGCCCCCGGTATTCTTGAGAAATTATTTAAACTTACCAAGATAGTTTCTTCCAACTTCAATCGTTATTTTAGTACACTTCATTGATATCTAAACACTAACATGACGAAATTATTCATGTTTCCATCAGAAATACCAAAGAATATTAGGACCAACTAAAGATATACGTTGGGTACAATAATTTTCATTAGAAATCAGTAGTTGTCGAAAAGCAAATCACAAACCTTTTGGATACAGGCGGCAACTGTTCATAAGGAGATTATGCAAAATAACGGTGATTTACGTATACATTGTACAAGCTGGTCAATGTTTGCCATTTTATTTTGTTTCAAAAATCTTTCACTGTATATTTCTGCTACTCAAGAGTTTACTAATGGACAATAGGCAGAACAAGTTTTAAAGTTCAAGAACACCTTATTCATTTATTTTGCTTCTATTTATACTTACCATGTTACCTTGTCATTAATCTACCATTATGAATGTAATTATACGTAGATCGATAAGTCTTATGGCAATGTCTGTCACTGAAAGATAGGTACATCACCCTAATAAAGGCTCTACATTAGAACATCCATGGGTAAGTTAGAGCCTATGGAGGTCGCCTTCTCGTCGTCTGACTGTTTAGCATATCTAGAGTATGCAGATGACATAGTCCTGCTGGATGAAGAAGCTGACAAGTTAAAGACTGTTCTTGACGCTTTGAGCGGTAGTTAGAGAATTATCGGATTGCGTTTCTCGCCACCCAAATGCAAATTGCTGTTCCTGGACTGGTGCTCTTTGTGGTCTTGTTTAACAGTAAGAAGTACAGTGATTGTGCACATTGACCACTCTACTTACCTGGGAAGTTAGATCAGCGCTGGTGGGTCGATGTAAAACAAAATCTCTGCACAGATGCAAAAAGCGTAATTGTCTTTGGCTGCCTTAAGCCATTTCTTGTTCCCAGCTGTTATCCATATACCTGTTGAGAGTCAAGTGGACTATGCTTCCGTTCACCCTGTTTTGAAATATAAGTGTGAAACGAGGCTATTAAAGGTAGCGGATTTGAGAAAACTTCTTGTGTCTGACCACTATTGCCTTCGTAGACTAGGCTGTGTCGTGGTATCACCACGTGAGTAACGTAGAAGTCAGGTGTAAAGTCCATCGACTAAGATGACTGTCACACATATGTTGCGCATGCTTAAGTACCGTCTATTCCAATGTACAATTTTAGATTCGGCTTGAAAAAGTTCAGAACGAATCAAACCAGAGCATACCATCAGTCCATGTATACTCTTGCTGTCGGCCTGAGCCATATAGGGAGATGTTAACTTCCTGGTTGGGGCCCGATGTGACAATCGAAACCAGTGATTTCAGACTTTAGGTGATGGGGTTCAGGATCGATCTTAATGGCGGAAATGTATCCACATACTGTCTTCATCTTAATGGTCGCCATAAATTCCACTATTTTCTCTCTCGCCCTTGCTCTCTCTTACTGACTTTCTACGACTTTTAACTACTGTTTTCCTTATTTCTTCATCTTGATGCATTCTCACTTGATGTGCTGATATGATTTGTGGCCACATGAACCGTTAAGCTATAACACTGGGTCCTATGCTTATATTGTCTGTCCATCATTGTAAGCCAGATAAACTAAAAGCAGTTAAAATACTTAGTGTTCAATGTATGTATACCAACTGGCCAAATAATGACGTTTCCTTACGAAGGCAAAAGTACTTATTTATATAGCTCAAGATGAAGGTGTATTGTTTTTGCAATCACACGATTTGTCATGAATACTGATGAAAGTATTTATTATGAGACCATACATTGCATATCAATGGATAAAAACCGATTATTATCACTATTATTATTATTATTATTATTATTATTATTATTATTATTATTATTATTATTATTATTTGATTTCATACCTTACATATTCTTATTGCACTCGAATAGGCTTTCGCTCGTGTAAATAAACGAATAGCTTGATCAATGCCACCTTTCGGTTCTAAGTGACGGGCTAAATGATGACAGGCACCAGCATCACCAGTTTCATTACATACTGTTTCAGCTTCAGCTTCTTGGCCAAGACAGCAGAGTACGCGAACCAGAGATAAATAATCCTTTGATTCATGATAACATTTTTTAGCCTCTTCAAGACGTCCTTGAGCTTCTAGCGTCTGAGCCCACCAACGCTTGATGCTTCTAAATAAGGGAACAGCAAAGACTGCATGAATTATATAGTTTTGTGAAGATGTGAGGCAGGAAGTGGCATTTGTAATGAAACACTTGATCAACTCTTACTTTGCCATTCATCACTGCATATTCTTACTGTGTCAACCCTTAATGATGTTAATTCGAATAACTTCCAATAGCCAAATGAAACTCAGGAACGGTAAATGCAGGACAGACAGGTAGGTTTGTTTTTGAATACGATGCATCAATCTGACATTCGTTCTTCTTGGAGTCCTGTATCACGGACATACCAACCGTAATAAAGTATTCCGTAACTTAAAAGGGGCTACTGACTATAGTAATGAAGGAATCTTATGACCTTTCTTTTGACCAGTCTACATTTGTTTATCTGTTTTTTGCAAAGTTGGGTAGCTATGATGAATTCCTCGTTATTGCTGCTATTTTAAAAAAGAGGTTCCTCAAAAGCAAAACAAATTATTATGTGCAGAAATGAAATCTTACAAAGACTTCAAAACGAACTATGATCAACCAAGAAACTAAAAGCAACTTTCTCCCTAGTTAGGTTTTTCAATATAGAATGTAGAGTTTTGGATCGTGGAATGAATATTTTATCCTCCATACAAATGAATATTGGAGAAGGGAACTCACGTAGCGTGATGCATAACTGAAATGTTTTTATATTTTCAAACTTCTGATTCAAAAGCTAGATGAACATTATTTCAGCATACGCTCGAATAATATAAATAATGATTAGCCATCACAAAGTTACTTGGGAATTTTCGCTGTATATAAACACAGATGAACAACTTCCGGAGGAAATTCTAAAATTGTTTATCTATGCTTAGTGAGAAGTCATAAAAAATGTGTCAACAATTTTGTAGAAGTATGTAATTAAAATCAAGCAATCAGTAGATTTGCTTTGCATAAATACTTGTAAATGACAATGTCTTATTCAAGCGATTATAAGGTTCTGCTCAAAAAACATACGTAGGTAAAGAGATTTTAAACGAGTTAACTCCGTGATTTAGCTGTCAAGTCCTTAATTCACCCATCAGGTTGGCGATTTGGTCACAGTGCAAAGTTAAACTACACTGCAGTATACTTCATTTTCGTGCTGGATGTTAGAATTCAACTGACAAGGATGGCAGACGGCTAAAATATTTTCACTAGTTCTCAAATAAGCGATTGCAACCGACAGTGAGCCTCTTGATTTCTTTGCACTTGGACTATGAAATTCGATTCCCTAATCAAAGCATCTATTAATAAGGAGCACCTAAGTAGTCCTACATTAGTTATCAAGGCGATCTCATTTTAGATACATGAATAATGACCTTGAAGATGATATTGCTGACTTCCTGATACCATTATATTTTGATAGCAGCATATAAAGAAAAGCAACCTTTTTGTTCATTTTCTAAAGAAGAAACTGCTCTCGAACTATCAAAAACTGCAGCGCCAAATATGGTAGTAAACAATCCATCTAGCATGAAAATCACAGCTGATTACAAATTAATAATGGGCATCTACCATAAATGAGACATAATATTATAGGCTTAGTAAATTACCAAAGTCATTCTAGTAAGGGTATAAATAAGGCACTCAGTACAAGAATAAATTTACTCTATACTTTTTATATCTGTCAGTCATATACAAATGAAACGGCAAAAAAAACATCTCATCAGTATTTGTTCATTTCGCTTCCTATGACTTGACACTGGATTCTTATCAATTCATTCAAACAATTATTAATCCACGAAACTCATTACAGAATAAATTCATAAATGAGTGAATTACTTGTTACAAACTGCTAGGGGGAAAACATTGTTCATTGTAAAATAATATTAATTTGAGAGGAGTTTAAAGTTAGAATCTCCTAAAGATCTCTTCTTTCCATTTTCTGCGGTCCTTCAACAACACGCATTTGGTATAATTGAACTGTTTGCGAAGCATATTTTCTTGGGAAAACTTATCTGAACTTCCTTGCCTTTAGCTATTGAGAATTTTTCTACTCGTTTCAAATGGACATGACAAGTTTTTATAACATTAAATATCCCCTGACAACTTAGGTCTAACTTTCCTAAGATCAAAAGTTATTGAAATATTATCTTCACCTTTCCATCTGTAATTTAATCGGCCATATTTTTCTTCTATTTCTTTTTTCGTTACCTTTTATTCAGTGCGATATCAGTTTGAATGATCAGATTATTCAAAATGTATAGCACCACTACAATACGTGTTTCAGATGAATTACATCTTTCGATTGTCATATTGAAGGATAAATGAAGGCCTACTATCAAGTTGCTTTAGCCAAGGATAAAATAGCTGTTCAGTACTGCATTATTTCCCGTATTTATTTCTGATTTCGACTTATTCGATATTATCAATTTCAAGACTTGTTTAACATCAAAAAGTATTATTAAATAAGCAGTATAACTCAGACAGTTGTTTAAAATTAAAATGATAAATGAAATGAAATCTAATTAAGTACGCACCTTCGTTGGTATTTGTATTCTAGGTATTATTCTAATATGCCTAAAGTACGCATGAATATGAGGTAATCTACTGTATCTTAGGCACTTGTTTTCCAATAGAGCAAACAACAATTGTTTCAATATCCAAAATAGTAGATAAAGTATAATGTATAAAGTAAGTTTAAGTAGTTTTTAAATATTGACTAAGCTAATAGCCACAACCGAATAGTCTGAGAATATGTATGTAATCAGTGTTTTGAACACTTTGATGGTAGGACAGTTAACTTGTTGTATGCATATGCATATCTTCGTTTGCTTTGCCATCAATATCCTGAGGAGTTATTTTTATCTGCTGACAAATATGCTCATCAGTGGGGGAATGTTTTAATGTGTTGAAAAGTCATACTAATTAGTGAAGTCCACTCGTTTTTGATTCAAAACAAGTAAAAGAACTTACTGATCTGCTTGACTAGTTACGAATGATTCCAGTAATTCTGGTTTATTTTTTAGCATTCTTGGAACTTCAAACCGATATGTTTCCGACTTGATGTAGCTGTAAACATTAAAAATACGATGTAAAATGAAAATGACTAATAGAAATTACAACTGAGGTAGTCAGAGTGGTGTGCAGATGATTTTTGGTAATCATTAGAAACGAAATATATTTGACTTCGAAAATATTATTCTTTGATGTAATAAAAAAAAACTAAATTTTCGACGATTAATGATGGGCTAGAAATGGGATTACTATCAAGCATTTTGGTCTGAGTATACAACTCCATGTGGTTGGAAACACATGCTATTTCGTTACCTACCACGACACACTGTTTAGGAATGTAATTTGCCACAGAAGTTATTTCAGGGTCAAGACATAATATGATACTTATCGGTGAAGTTTACTGCTGTTGGAGAGAGGCAGGCAGAAAAATGTACAATTACTGATTGTGATACAAAAGACACGCAACATCAAAAAGCAGAAGGATTAAGCAATTTAACAGAGAGTCAATAGCAGTGATACCAATAAATTCATGTACCACCACTTAGTTATTGAAACGTATATATATATATATATATATATATATATATATATATATATATATATATATATTAACTTCTAATATTGTGACCATTAACGAATGTTGATAACATTGACAAAAACTTCTTTGTTAACTTCATCCTGTAGTGCTGATATGTTATGTGACCTGGGATACAACCATGCCTGGTTCTTATGCAAAGACTTGACTCCTGATTAATAAATTTATTTATAACACAAGTAAATTTTGTATGTCTTTGTAATCACGTTGTGGCTTCACACTGCAATGACATACCAATGAGTCGAAAGCTTCAGAAATCCAACTAACTTGAGCAAATTTTTCTCATGAAGTGATAACAAACCATAAAAAAGCATCCCACAAAATAAAACTAAGTTTAAAGTTAGATAATTTGTGTTCGACAAATTTGATTCATTGATAAGAAATTCTTATCTTCCTAGTAATAAGAAACAGCAATCACAACCTATTTACTATTCACCAATTGGTGTATTAAAAATAATATTTTATGAAAATAAAATTCTAGAAAAAAGAAATTACCAACTAACTTTTCAATCGCTTCTTGAATTTTACCCAGAGACTCTAATTCTTCAGCATAAGCATAATGAATACCACGTAGTGACATACGATGATGCTGTTCAGCTGTTGTAACTGCCTTACTCCAATTGCCAAGTGACTGGTGCAAACGAATTACTAAATCCCAGCGATTGCATTGAATAAATAAACGTTCAGCTTCATCCTTAAAATCATTTTCAATGGAGAAGTGAAGCGCACTTTTCATGACTTTTACTTCATTTTAAAAATGTTTCAAAAATTTGAATTTTTTAATTTTGCATAGTAAAGTTAAACAATCTAAGGAGTTGAATAATTAATCTACTTTATTTTTTAGTATAATTACTTGTATTATATCGTTGTTAGTTGGACCGAATTCATGTGTCTGTATTGGCTCCTACGCGGACGCCTCGATATTACCCGCGTCCTAATTATAATGTAGATGGATAGTGGCTTCCAGTGGAATGCAGGATGCGCATTTCAAACCTACCTGTCTGTCCTGCATTTACCGTTCCTGAGTTTCATTTGGCTATTGGAAGTTATTCGAATTAACATCATTAAGGGTTGACACAGTAAGAATATGCAGTGATGAATGGCAAAGTAAGAGTTGATCAAGTGTTTCATTACAAATGCCACTTCCTGCCTCACATCTTCACAAAACTATATAATTCATGCAGTCTTTGCTGTTCCCTTATTTAGAAGCATCAAGCGTTGGTGGGCTCAGACGCTAGAAGCTCAAGGACGTCTTGAAGAGGCTAAAAAATGTTATCATGAATCAAAGGATTATTTATCTCTGGTTCGCGTACTCTGCTGTCTTGGCCAAGAAGCTGAAGCTGAAACAGTATGTAATGAAACTGGTGATGCTGGTGCCTGTCATCATTTAGCCCGTCACTTAGAACCGAAAGGTGGCATTGATCAAGCTATTCGTTTATTTACACGAGCGAAAGCCTATTCGAGTGCAATAAGAATATGTAGGGTATGCAATGAATGGTATCATAATGAATCACAATAACTAATTTCAATAAGGAAGCCAACCATCTAGAATATAGACGTTAAATATTCAAAAGTGAGAGGCCAAAAATCTAAATACCATGGAGGTTAAACATCAAATCATGGTCATCATCAATTTTTACATTATGCTTAATTTTATAACTGTGATGTCACCGTTATTCGTAACGCAAAGAATGTCAACTTCTAAGATATTTTTTCCTGGCTACATACCACTTTGGTGACAGATTTTCCCCACTAACTTATTATTATGATTATCATTTACTCTTTGGGTTCCTAGTGAAACATAGGGCTTCAGTAGAGTGTCTCCATTTCACTCTCTTCTCTGAAGTCTTTTTAGCCTGGCTCCACAACTACCCCTAAGCTTTCATTTCTTCCTCACATGATCTCCTCCATGTCACCCTCGGACGCCCAACTCATCGTTTACCATTTGGATTCCACTCGAGGACCTGGCAGATGATGCCTTCAAACGGTCTTCTCAGTGTGTATCCAATCCATCTCCACTTTCTTCTGCATATTTGTTGGACGATAGGTTGCTAGTTGGTTCGCTGCCAGTTTTTTGCTTATTCTTTCTGACCATCTGATCTTCAATATCGAGAGAGCGTAGGCAGCAACTGTATGTCTGAAGTTTGTTGGAAATGCTTTTCCTAACACGCCAAGTCTCTGAACAATCACATTTAAGCACTTACTTGACATTGGTGTTGAAATTCGGGATCTTGTTCTTTATGCTGAGTGCAGTAGATCTCACTGATTTCAGGTTAGTGAAGGCCTGTCTTGCTTTGACGTGCTCATCTATGACGCCGCCTGTAGTTGAAACGATGCTCCCCTGCCTAGGTAGGTGAAAGAGAATACTTCCTTTTCATCTCTCCCGTTGATGGTGATTGGTGCTTCTTGTTGTTGGTAAAGTATCTTCATCACCTCTGTCTTCTCTATGTTCACTTGAAGTCCCGTCTGCGCTGCGCTGCCTCTTCGGTCAACTTGTTAGTTTTTGCCTGTAGATCTTCGAGCTTGTGCAACATAAGACACACATCATCATCGGCGAAGTCTAAATCCTCTAAGATCTTTTCATCAGTCAAACAGAGTATACCCGTCTTCTCACTCCTCACAGTTTGTTGCATGATCCAGTCGACTACCATCAAAAAGATCATTGGTAATACTAGGCAGACTTGTCTTACTCCTGTCTTCACTTCAAAGGCGTCCCTGAGCTTTCCATTACTGTGTGAATCACTCGGCATGCAGCATCATATAGCAAATAGGTGTTGAATGAGGTTGATAAGGGTTTGTGGTACTAAAACCGTAGTGTTGAAGCAGCTGTAAATTACTTCTCAGTCGACCCTATCGAAGACCTTTTCAAAGTCGATGAAGTTGAGTTGACTGCCATTCTGTGCTCTGCTCTATGATAATGCGTAGCGCTGAAATTTGATTCACACATGATTTACTCTTCCTGAAAGTAGCCAGCCTGTTCCGGTTGAAATTTTGAATCCAGCGCATCGTTTAGTCTCTCCAGGATGATGCGGCTTAATATTTTGCTTGGGGTAGACAGCATCATGATTCCGCGTCAGTTCCTGCAAAGACTTAGGTCTCCCTTCTTTGGGAATTTGACAAAGTTGTTATGGGTTCGAGGCGCTAATGGTATATGTATATATTCCGAAACGAATATCATACGCGCGCTTAGCTGACAGCCAGCTGCAACCCCGGGACAAATAGAGAGAAGACCGAAGCTGGCAGATGGGAGAGTGTATTGCTCCGAGAATATAATATAATAACAATGAATCAATCCAAAACACGTGAATAAGTATGCACATGAAAAATGACCTTGTCTGCAATTGGAGAAATTCGCATAGTAAGAGTAAAAGTTAACCAATCAGCAAATTGCATTACAATGGGGGCAGAAATAGACTTAGTTATATCGTAAAAATAATGTGGGAATGACACGTTAAAATGTTCTGATCGATAACAATGTTTTATACAAAACTGGGGCATCACAACAAAAGTAGCCCTGCTTCCAGTCGGCAGGTACCTTCCCTTCCATCCAAACCTTCTGCAGTAGTGGTGTGAGCATGTCCGCTGTTGCCGCGGCGTCAGTTTTCAGTGCTTCTGTAGCAATTCCATCCGGTCCCGCTACCTTCCCAGATTTCAGCAACTTTATGGCGTTTAGGCCTCGGCTTGTGTCTGAGGGCTTGTGTTCACTGGTAGTTCTGTGGCTGGGCTGCAGGCGGTACTTCTGGACAAGTTTCAGGCGGTGGTCGATTCAATATTTTTCTGAAGTAGGCAGCCCATCGTTTCTTTTGTTTCTCCTCTTCGGTAACTAGGTTTCCTTCACTATCTTTCATTGGTTTCGTCTGTGTTGATCTCTTCCCAAATAGTATCCTGGTTATTTGACATAATGTTGTGAGATCTCTCCTACCTGCAGCCTGTTCTGCTCCATTTGCCAATGTGTAGTAGAAGTGTATTTTGTCTTTCCACGCACTATTCTTCGCTTCTTTGTCCAGTGTTTTATAGATTGTATTCAGTTCCTCTTTTTGCTGTTCATCCCTGCACTGCATTGCACTGGTTCATCTTCTGCCTCGCCATCTTCCTATCCCTCCTCTATCAGCTCCCATGTGTCTGTGGAGATCCATCCCTTGTCTTGCTTCCTCTTCCTTCCTGGTACGCTTATGCAGGATCCGTCCATGCCTCTTTCAAAGAATTCCAGTGTTATTCCACGCAAGTTTCTACATGGATGCTGCTTACTGTCTCCCATTTTTTCGTGATGCCTGACTGACGTGAAGATATCCCTTGCAGTTTCATCCTTCAGTTTCTGGGTGTTCAACTTGAACGGTGGCCTGTCACTGACTTCTGTGAAGGCTTTCAACTTGATTTTGAATATAGCTTCGTTGCACTAGATAGTGAGTGGTGTGAACCCACATCTGTTCCCCTTCCTGATCTTGTGTCCAGTAGGCTGCATCTTCACTTTCTTCACATTGAGATGAAGTCGATCTGGTTTTTAGTGTGTCCTGGTGTCTGGTGAAATCCATATCGCTTTGTGAATATCCTTGTGTTTGCACACACTGCCTCCAATCACTAAATCGTTGAATGCTTAGAAGTTTGCAAACAGTTCTCCATTCTCGTTCATCACTTCACTGAATGCTTCTCGACCCATGATGAGTTATCTTCCTGTGTTGTCCGCTTCCAGTTTGGCATTCATGTCACCCATCAGAATGAATTTTGATGTCGCCAACTGGCGTGTGGTCTTGTACAGTACTGATTGAAGTTGTCTGTAGAATTCCTCCTTCTTCTCTTCATCTCCATCATTTGTAGGTGCGTAACGTAGCGTAGCATTGTATGATTGTGACTTTCCTTCCTTTTGAGTTGAATCTTGCTGTCATGATCCTGATCCTACAGGAGAGGTTGAAAGAGAGCCTACAATGATTTTGGAGATATCATGATAGCCACTCCGAAACTCAGTGTGCTCGTGATTGTCGTCTTGGTGACAATATCGCAGTAGGTTATTGACTCTCAAGTTGACAGTTGAGAGTGTCAACTTCCATTCCATCTGCTCTTGCATATTCCTAGCACTTCTATGCCATACCTTCTCATCTCTTTTGCAATCTGGGAGGCCTTTCTGGCTTCAAACATCGTGTGGACATCCAAAGTCCCTATTCTTTCTTTTGATTTCATCGAGAGAAGACACATTGGCCGATTGGCTTCCCGAAGGCTTTCACCAGCTGGCGTCATTTCGTCTCTCCGATTCCAGCGAGGAATAAGTTTATATTTTATAATTTCTTCGTGCTTTGAAGTTTCTTCAGCGATTATGTTGGTTTTCCGAGATAGAGTCGCTAGCTACATGCCCAACCTTCCCTCTTATCCAGGCTTGGGACCGGCTAGTAAACTAGTCAACTGATAAACTAGGCGACGTTCTCCACTAAGTTATGCAATGTTAAATGACATTTGGCTTCTCAAATGAAATTACCTTCAACCAGTTTAAACAAATGTATGCGACAGAATGTTAAACAAGAAAGTCGGCTACTTTTCTGAAACTACAAGAAAAGAAAGCAGATATTTCTAACACCTGTTGATAGGGTGTTATTAGCTACTAATACTAACAGTAAAGCAGATTGGAATATTTTCGACTTGTCCTTTGAAAATGTTAGGTTAGCAATGCTGCATGAGTGTACGCACTATGGTATCAGCCATACAGATGAAAAAGGGTTAAAACTTCAAACATCTAAGGAATGAGATCTGATTGTACGCAGATAATACCCCTCAATTGAAATCGAATAAATTAATTTATGTAATTTGAGAAGTTAAAAGTATGTTACATTTAAGAGACATTTAGTAATTAAATGGACTGATAAAACAAGGTACAGCTTTATACAATGTCTCATTGCTTAATTCAATATGAACACTCACAGGCATACTAAGCTGCAAAGCTAATTCACCTGCTTGAGCTTCTATTTCTGGCTCTCTGAATCGAGATTCACGTATCATTTTAGATGCCATTGGATTATTTATCTTGCCTAAACATATGCGCGCAACATCAAGTCGACAAGTTGTAACACACATTCTGGCCATGTTCTGCAATACAATATTATACAAGCAATAATCATGTGTAAGCATCTGTATAAAAATTTACGCAATTTATTTTGTTTATCTAGACTATTTTGGTCAATTTCAGTCACTTAATCAATATCAACGCCGGGACTGGGATTACTGAGTAACGATCGAAGTTGCCACATCTCACATTGACACATAAAGGTATAAGGCACAAAGGCAAAAGTTAGAGAAATAAGAAAAGAAGTACTTAAACAAGGCAGAAAATCATAGAGAGAGAAAAAGAAGGAATCAAACAATGATGAATTTCGAAATAATACTTAGGATGAAAATAATGTGTGAATGCATTTGCATCACTGAGATCGATTATGAGCCACATCGCCTAGAGTCTCCAACCACCTATATTGGATGTCACGTGGACCCCAATAAGAAAGTCTATATTTCCCTACACGGCTTAGGCTGACAGCCAGAAAGCCCATGGACTGACCGCATATTCCAGTTTGACCGCTTCCGACCTTTGTCAAACCGCAGCTCAACCTATCTAAAATTGTGTAGTTTGGTAACTGATTTAGTTACCAATTCTTTAGTGGTGAGCAATGGTTTGTGTCTATTGAGTTCAAGTTCTGTTAGCGAGTGCCAATAAACGCGATATCTATGTTCAGAGCTTCAATCCACAGATATTATTCGAGTATAGAAGTCTGAGCACCTTGATAAGGAAATGATATATCCTTTCTCCATGAAAAGACGATGCTACCAATTAGACTTTATCAATACAATTTTTTTCAGCTGCTTAAGTTTAGTTGCTTGAATGTTCGGTTATGGCTATTCTACGGTAAAAACAATGAGGAGAATTACATCATTTGTAACTAGTTTATAAGCACCAAAAACATACTTGAAACAACGTTTAGTTCAATACAGTTGTCAACATCCATAAATACCGTTATATTTAGCCAATTGCAGATAAATTCGTTCAGTGTTCTAATTAGTATGCATTCTTAAAAATATATTCATTCATCGGTGGGATGCAGTTTTACTAGTAAGGAAAGAATTCCAAATTTCTTTTGCTCATATGTATTAGTACAAAGAATTCCCATCAGGCATGAAGTGATGAGAAAACGCAATCTAATGTAGAATTGTGAAGTGAACAAGTGTATGGATCTAGGAAGAAACAATAGTTTATATTCTACAATGAGACTGTACGGCAATGAAATGTAGCTAGTAGTGATAGTTGTCTATAAAACAAATATCCAAAAGCTCGTTACGCTGGAACACTGCTGTGATATTTTATCCGAGCAAATTCAATTCTCAAAGAAGTGTCGTCATGCGTCGTTAAGTTAAAAAGACAAGTCACTTTAAAATCTTTTACAAAAGCGCATTACTTTAATTTGGCATACTTTATATCAGAGTGCTAAGAAAACGTTATAGGTAAACGAATGACAAAAAGTTAACAGAAGTGTAAGAGAGAACGGAACTTTGAAGACGAGAAAAATTGCATGCATTTGCACCATTTTGATTCCTTTCGAGCCTTATCGCTGAGAGTCTGCAGGTATTGGTTTCTGAAATCTCGAGGAATTCAGTTATACACCTACAACTCTCTACACAACTGGGTCCAATAGTAAGATAATTTATAGACTGTTATCATGTCTTGTTCCAACCACTCAGAGCCTCCTTCCAATCTGATATTGCACTTAATAGTATACTTAGTGATAGATATCATATGAAAAACATTGATAACTTAAGTATGTAAACACAAATAGTAATTTACTTGTTAAAAATGAAATCGGAGGAAAATATTTTGTATCGTACAGATCTATCGCCATGAATATGTGTTCATTTACGTCAGTATGATTAGTCAGGCTAAAAAGGGAATTTTTCCACTTCTTAAAGAGCCAGACAACACATTCATGATACACATATAAACATACCTGCCAAACAGCTGGACTTTTGATAAGTTTCATGGCTCGAAATGCTGAGTCCATTTCACCAAGTGCTAGATAATAGCTAAAATTAAGCATAGCTTCACGTGTTTTCTCATCAGCATCTTCAAGACCAACAAAATTTTGCATTACACGCCTATTGATGTAATGTATTCGATTATCAGTTGTTAGTTGATCACCAAACGTCTCATCAGTGACCCCTTGATGTTGTGTCTGACGCCTTTTATCTTCTGTAATACATAACATGTCCGTCCTAGAACCAATGCTGTTAATACTATTTAGTGATTGTTGTGTTGATGTATAGTCTGCTTCACTGATTACACGTCGACCAGACGTTGTAAACATTTCTAAACGTCGCTGATACTGTTCGTTAATAACACGAAACACTAAATCACACTGAAATAAAAATTAATGTATTTAGTTTTTTCATGTATTGTATAGTCACTTTTTCGAAAAAGGAAGAAAAGTAAGTGACATTCAAATCTTAATTAACACTTAAATATTGCCTAAAAATATTCATAATAAAGAATCTATGGCATTTTGATTTGGTCGTTTTTATCTTAACTGGTCAAGTGAGGGTTCCAATCGAGCTTTGCTTGTACATGACTAATTTGAGATAAAGTTATGAGCCCTGTCTTTAAAATGTAGTAAGCCACATTTCTTGATGTGAATAATTTACTTTCAGGATATTTGGCAAAGTTCAAATTGATAACGTGATAAAGTACAAGCTGTACTGGTGACTTTCTTAAACTTGAATCTCATACATTTAAGCGAAGAGCCCTTAACGTGCATTCAAACGTTATCTTTAGTGTTCCTCCTACATTGAAAGTTATTCTTGACGACATTCAGGATATAGCTGTCAATGAAGTTGATGATAATGGTGTAGACTAGTTATCTAGATAAAAATTATTTTATTTTGACTATGTGAACCATGTCATTCTCCATGTGATAAAACAGGCTACAAAGAGCATTCTCAGGTCATACTGTACGAAATGCATGGTACACTATAGTACTAAGTAATTTTAAAGAAGCCAAAAATGCTTTCACTCGATATTATTTGTAAATTATTAGAATACGCCTAAAATGTTAGGTATGTGAACAGTTATGTTAGCGCTGGTACAGTCGGAAGAAAATTAAACTTCATATAAAAAAACGTCAGAATGACATATGCCACTGCAGTGTTAGTCTGACTACTAGAGATCATGTGTAAAACTGGTACAGTTGGTACTTCGTTAGAAGATCTGATAGCATATTCGAAGTTTGACAACTCAGTGATCGATGATCAGTATAAGATATTGCACCATAGAATTAACACCAATTTCAACAGGTATAAATCTTTCAGCACATCATGATTTGTGAGGTAAATTAAAGTGGAGCTTTCAAAACACTTGCCTATGAAGTCATCATGCTTGTCTAAAAGTGAAAATCACTGGGGACCTTTATTTAATTTTTCCCTGAGCTTTTTATGTGTAATAGTCCTTATAATTTTAGCATCAGCATTATTGTATGTTATACTCATTTTTCAATATATTAGTGTGATTTTCACTAAATGAATTTCATCAACACTAAGTATATTTCTATTTCACCGAATAAACAGTGAGATTTTAATTTCTTGATTTCTCCAGGTTAATTCTCACATCATCTCAACGACCTAATTAGTTAGGCAGTTAATAAATTAAAGAGTTGGTCATTCACTTCATTTTTAATGTGGTTCGTATTGAAGAAAATATCTGTGAACATTATTACATAGTAGTCTACACTCAATAAACATAGAAAACAACCGAACTAGTATATATGTATATCATACAAACATATACGCTGTTAAATGCTATCCTCAATTTCACAGATCTGTATAAAATTTAATATTCAGGGGAAATTTTTCACCATGTCCTCCCATCTGTATTTGATTATGCTGAAAACCAGATTGTGGCTTGCGATGGTCTAGATCTGTTTGCGGGAATTCCGTATGTATTGGTTAGAACAAAATTAAACTTTAAACCTATTTTATAGTTTTTTTTCTGGATATTTTTGTCGTTTAACAGTATATCACATAATTGATATTATTATTTATCGTAAAATTTAATGCCTACTTCAGGATTTATATGGTAACAATGATGATAATAATATTTTTTGAAAAATAAGTAAACATACACGGACAGAAAAGTATATTAAAGGTACTTCAACACCAATCAGTGCGCTATGATGAACTGACATTAAAAATGATCCTTGAACCACAGTATTATTTTGCTCAGGACTGATAAATAGTGAAACAATTGAAGTAAGAACTTTTGATTGCTAAAACAGAAAGGAAATTTAATCGTATTAAAATTTCATCTAACTAGCATGTCGTGTTACTAATACTGTACGGAAAGGGCGTGAAATCTGCCTCATATTGAAGCTTATGTGTTCCAATTCGACAACGTATTGGTAAATTACTTCATTTTCAAACGTTTTCATAACTGGTAGTTGACATACATATAACAGTTGACATTTATAGTGGCGACGCCACTCACCAGTATTGGTGATTACATGTGATTAGTGAGTACCAAGTTCCAAAACACTGAATACTTCCTTCATCCTCGACATCTCAAATACACAGTCAGCTACTATACATTCACTGCTCATGAGAATCTATGCATTAACTGGGAACCGCATGAGAACTTCGTAATTTCGTAACTCATTCATCTAAAAACTCACTTTTCCACGAGTGGATTCCACGTTCAAAAGCTGCTATACATTCTGGCTAGTGGTATAATATATGAAGCTGTCAGATTATAATTCTTACTGGGAATCTACTTAATACACGCAAACGTGATTGCTCAATTCTACTATCATCATTTGTGCAAAACATATGCAACATTCAAGTTCAATACCGTCACAATAACAATACACTGCTGGGTTTATTTCTCCTGTGTAAACTGATAACTGTGGACATAACTTTAACACTCTCACGTGACATTAACTTTCTATGGGCCTTAATGCATGGTTAAAGCCATATTACCGATGTTTTTTTTAACGATTGTTAGTCACTGACTAGAGTAAATACAATGCAGGAAATCCGCAAACCTTTTACTGGCAGCTGCTCAAGGTATACAGCTAATACGTGAATGGTAATGAATATAACCACAAAATACAAAAATTAAAACCATGTAACGAAGTTACTTAAGCAACAGAATTAAGGATAGACTTGACAGTTGACTGAATATTGCGTTATAATGGATTCGCATGAGAAAATAGTCAATGAATCTTTACAACCGTGGTAAAAATGGCTTCAAAATCATAATACAAAATCGCTTGTGAGTAAACTGTTTTGGAAAATAAATAGAGTAACTGGCTTAAATAAACTTGATCAATTTGATATCTCTCTTTCTTTTGTTCCGTTATAACAAATAAATATCTAGTGAAGTGGTCTTGAAACTTGACTGATGATCAGAGCTTAAAGGCTTACTGAAACAATATCAGATTAGTTCTGTTTTGAGTATCATTTCAATCATAATCTTGCATGCAGTAAGTAACAAGAATATGTGACGAACTATCGATTCTTCAATCTGACAATAAAAAGTTATTTTGAATTAATATTTACCGTATCTTCACTTCTGTCGCGTATTTCTGGAGTAATGAATACTTGTTTACTAGTCGACCGACTTTCTACACTAGAATACTGATCATTATCAGTAATATCTACAGTGTAGTCAAGATCATTACACTGGTTATCCATTTTTTCAAGTGAATTTATTTTGGATGTGATAATTGGGTGATTGTCTGAGATTGGTGAGGCCTCAACAACTAACAGACGTGGTTCATACTGATCCCAATAATGATGTTTTGGCCATCTTCTTTCGATAAGTTTTGTACTATTCAATCGAATCAAGTCTAAATTGACTGTGTGATAATCTTCTCCGCTTTTCACTAAAACAGACAAGAACAAACAACATGGTACGAATTATTCTTGACGAACTGTGCTCAAGATACAATCGTGTATTTTCAGAAATATTTGGGTCTGGTTGTTACTTTGACATTAGTTATAGTAAAATGAATAATTAAAATAAATGATGCGAAAGAAAATAGTTATTCGACATCTTTCAAATATGCGAAATAAATGGACTTTGCATGATATTAAAAGCAAGCGTATTAGTGCGAAACCAAGGCCACTCTCAAGATATAAACCCCTTGCTGTTTGCAGGATATTATTAGATACAAACACTATAGTAGGACTTATGTAAAAAATATATTCCAGTTTAGTTCTCATTCTGGAAATGGGACAGCAAGATAACTAAATGGTTTGCTAATCTTGACCAATATAAAAATTGAAAGTAAAAGATAAACTTATTTTATCGATTAGAATAGAACTTTTCGCAACTCATTCATACTTACATATCCATGTGTGATTGATACCAAGTAACCAGGTTTTTATACATTTATTGGTTTAAATTTCAAAAATCATAATTTACCTCGATCGCTTCAGTTCATAAGAAGGAGAAAGGTGATTAAGCATGTGGACAAGTCTTGAGGATTTGTATCACTTGTGGTGAACACTAACGACTGAATAAATTGTAGCGCACATACGAAAGAATCGATGGCTTTCCACTAACAAAAACAGTTTCTGACACCCATGAGGAGTTCAAATGCTTATTTTAAGCAGGCAGTTTTATGCTACAATACATTACCTGATTTCAAATAACTTCAGATATTTACTCAAGGTGGAATCAAAATATGACTAATGCAAAGACTAGACAAAATGTATTCAATAAAGGAGGTGTTTTGGTTGATAATGTAGTGACTGAGTCACGTTGTATACTTGTTCCAGCACAATCCATTATGTTGCATAAAACTGGTTCAACTTACGACACTTCATAAGAAAAAGAATTTATAACCTGCTCAATGAAATAAGTATCTGCAGAGGGTCGACAAAAATAAGATTGGTCTAAAAGATGTTAAAAAGCCGCACGGAAGAAATAATAATGTATAAAATGAGTACTAGAAAAATCTTTCACACTCAATAAATGAATGGTAAAAATCGAAACCAAAAGCTTAAAAAGATGAGAAAAGCAGAACTTGCAATAAATAGTGCTTCATGATCAGTGTGATAACAGTTGTATCCACGCTACGGATATTCATTTCGTACCAGATATCATGATATTTTTTAGTAATTAATATCTTTTGACCTAAAAAACATTCTACAGGTCTCAATTTGTTCACATTTCACAAAGCAATAGTCAATGACCTTACAGTTTCTACTATGAGTTTTTACAGCCAGAATCAACCTTATTCTTCCGTATACGTATCTCAGCGAATATACGATAGTTGTTGATTGGCGACAAACAAAGCAAAACTTGACTATTTTGTGATCAGTAGGTTTACAAAATCATTAAATCAACTTAAAGCTTTGTTGAAAACCTTATTTCTAACCTCTTGTTCACTAATCAATAGTTTCGTGAATAAAACAATTTTGTGTTGTCTAACTTGAACTGTTTCCCGGCAGTTGTAAAGAAGAATATGCTTTTGCTGAGTCACATTTTAAATCTTTTGCAAGCGGTAAAATACCCTACTGTCTTTGAATGTGAGACAAGTCATTCAGTGGGAGAAGATATTTCCTTCTGTGAAAGATATTTCTCAAGTAAAGTTGTAAATTTCTTTGGTTAAGTTATATTTGTTGAAATTTTTTGTCCAGGGTTGGATTGTGTTTCTGTGAGAAAGTATGTCACAGTGGTTTTTATCAATTTTTACTTCATTTTAACCGCTCGTATGTGTTGGTTGCAAGCTGCCTAAATACGTTATTTATCAATCAAACTTGTTTCTATTAACCATAAAAAGATACATAAGCCTAGTTTTGAACTGTTGTGACTGAATTAATAACCTAATCAGCCATAGAGTAAACGTTTTCTTCATTACGTGATGCAGGAATGATCTAAAGTAGGAAGTAATTCCTTTTTTTTTTACATGTCAGCCACTTTTTGCATTATAGAACGATGCATCTCGGTATCATAAATGCTACAAAAATTCCATATATACACAAAATATATGTATCGGTAATGCTTACTTGCTTCTGGAACAACAGTGATTGAATTTGAAATCGTTTCAAAGAAATTAAAATACTTCAATTTATCTACATCCAAATGATAAATATAAATATTTGGATCTGGAATCCATTGTTTTAATACATCTTCATGCATATCAACTATGATGTTTTCTCCTACTACGTGTTCATTCATTTTATCTGCTGTCATTCCTGTCAATGTAGCTGTTGAATGTTTTGTACCAGATAACTTTGACAACGGATACAGTGAGCAAGGCCATAAAAGTTGACATAACTTTCCACCGAGTAGAATTTCTACTGTAAATGCTAATGAATTACCAGATTTATTAATTGAGATCCATGAAATGTTTAATTCATTCGAAATAATATTTTTTGAATTTCGTAATAATGACAAATTTTGTTGGAAACTTTTCGTAGAACGAAAAGGTGATGTATTATAATCTCGTGCGATTTGATTTAATATCTCACATATAACTAGTTCAATCAGTGATTTCGATGTTATTGTAGATTTGATTTCCCTAAAATAAACAATAATCAAATTCAACAAATACGCTTTAGGTGGGTTGTATGATTAGATAATCCATAGGTTGTTTATATAGTTGCTCCGCAGATTACACTTTAGGAAGTGAAATAGCAATTGCAGTAAAAGATTACTAAACGTAAATGATAGCTTGAGGATTAATTTATACTGACTAGGCAAAGGAATCTGTCATAATCAAAACAATAATGGGGTGAATATCTTATAAGTAATTGCACTGAAATTTTCCCCTAGTTTAATTACCATGAAAAGTTAGATCAAAGTTTACAGGGTACTTCCAGAAATTCTTGTAAAACATTCCTCATATACGAATAGTGAACCATATTAAGCAAAATGATTTTCATTTTTCTAAATACTGATCGACTTGACACTAACCGCTTCTTTTGATAACAGTCTTAAGAACTAACAGTAACAGAAAACTGTCTATCAGGTTTACGAAGATAAATAAACGAAATACTAAGAATAAGAAAATTTTGTCTTCGTTTATTAAGTGTATGCCAAATGGAATAACTACCTACCATAGTACCTGAATTTCACTCTTACTCAGGGCATAGACAAGCAGTTTAATATAAAATCTCGCATATAATTGCATCATTTCAAGATGTCACACCTCATAGATACACTTCTACGAACTAAAACAATCATAATATGTGATCATCGATTGCGCTAACTTGTTCTCCGTCAAAGTCATCTAACCGGCATGCGCTAGACAGAAAAGACGATGCAGAATAACAACTTTTGGTTGAAAGAGGAGTCGATAATAACAGCATGAAAATGAGTGATACTTGTAACGCTGAAAAAATGTTCGTTACTGTGGTTTTCAAAAAGTGCAGTTGAAACAAAACAAGACTTTTCAGGAATAAAATAGTGATATATATGATGTAGTGAGTTAACTACATTCTGAAAGAAGAATATTTTTTCAATAAATTCTCATCAGGTTCTCCAGCTGTAAAAGGAATCGTGCAAAGTAAAACAGGTCAAGTTTATAACGAATACATTTTCAACATGGAATACGAGTTATGAACTGTAAAGAAATCGACTTTAATTTTTAATTTTTTCAATATTAGAATTACATATATTGTGGTGATGAAAGAAAATACAAATCAAGAAGACGAGAGTAGCCTTCAGTTTCTTGAAGGCCACGGAGGAATAACGGCTGAACATGTTCTTTCTGAGTCCCAAGTTCAGTTTGTGGATCTTATTGCTAAAGCTTTAGAAATATTGAGTAGTCGTTGACCAGCTACACGTGATACACGTCTATGTACATGATGTACGACATTAAAAATTCTATTAGCATCTACGCCCTGTGTGAACTTTGTGCTCTAAGATATTGCTTCTCGTCACTTTCACTTCATTTTTTACAAACCAAGCCGGTAAATGTTCACATATCCAAGGACGCATCTGCTGAACAGTCCTCCTTATATCTTGTCTCAAAAATCAGTTAAATTGATATAAGTAGGATGAAGAGCTAAAATTAGGCGGGGTACCCTTTAGTCTCGGACTGACCCCTGGCCGACTTCTCGAAGATATGAAGAGATGACATGAATAAAATTTTCAATTTACTGCTCTAGCTAGTTGTTGCGGTAGTATGTCACTTAGAGCATCTCCCTTGAATTTCAATCGCAAGAACAAAGGCTTTTTCTCCGCTATCATCAATTCATGTTTGAGAAACCTGCGGGCGATATTTACTTTGAGGGATATCGGTATTCACTTAGAATCTCACGGATGCTCAGTAGTTCTTTTTCCACACAATTGGAACAAATTAATCGTACTCCAAATATTAGGCATCTGATTATATTGCGTTTATGCTTCATTGGTACAAACTGACGAAGTGTGTATACTGTTTTAGTCTACAACTTTCACATCTTTTCCTGTCATAAGTATGACAAAAAAATGTACCGGATCACTGATTTCACTCTCGTAAATAAAATGAACTAATAGAACACTAAAGAAGTGGCTTAGAATACAATTACTGCATAAGCAGTAAACAATAAAACAGTCTTTTTTAGTTTTCTATTCCGTGTAAAAAGAAACATTGAAATAATAAATGCCTTTTTCTCAATGTCAAATCTTATGTCCCAGCTATCAAATTTGAACTTGGCTTGCTTATCGATAGAATTTGTTTCATATTTCAAGTGCAATTATTCCTCTTAAGATGTCATAAAATAATTACTTGAAAGCAAACAAACAAGACGTTCAAACCTATAAAAATGTTTGTAAAAATATACCTTACCTTCGACTTAAGTCAAACACTCGTACTTTATGGTGATCAGTAAGGCAAGCCATATAATTAGCACACTGAGAGGTTAGGATTACACTGCCTTCTGTTTCGCTGAAGCTCACTAGTTGTTTGACACAGCCCTGATCAATGAAATACATACAATAAAAAAGTTAGTTTACATAGAATTCCAAGTAAATAGATTTGGATTCCATAGAGAGTTTAAGATTGTTAACTTTAATGACAATCCTATAAAAGTTAAATAATCGGTAGAAAGATGAGAATCACTGGACAATGGTTTCGTCTTGCTCATTGATTACTGAGTATAACACATCTGCTAATTTTTTTGACGGTGAACCTGAGTTTCTTGAACTATTTTCTAATTCAGCCTACAAGGAGTAGGTGGATTAGATAATTCAAATGTAATATGTAGTCAAATATATGACACTTAGAATTTTCAGAATTTAAAAGTGTGAGTATGAGAATATAGGGAAATTATTTTGTTGGTGTTAAAAAATTGGTCAATTCACCAACAGCTTAGCTTCAACGATTACGTTTCAAGAGAATGTAAACCATACAGATACCGCCAGCAAGTCAAATTCTCCATTGTTCAAAATGTTCTGCATAAAGTTTTCAACAGATACTTTTCAAACCCTTCGATGTTTAAGTTCTGCATGTTTACGCTTTTGTCAGTCGTCGAATAATTTTACATCGATTGTAATGGGATATAACTTGGTAAAATACTAGTTGCATATTGCTTGCTCTACTCTTATCGAGCTTGAATGGTCTATGGCGCAAAAAAGATATCCCGCTGTTTACCGAATGACTTTTCTGTGCAACAGTTTGTTCAACTATCAGATATAAATTTTGAAGAAATGATACGAAAGGATATTGGGTCAACAGAATTGCGACTAGCTTATTATATCTGTCCTGAGTGAACAACTTTAAATCTAAATGTAGTTTTTCAGGTGGGAAAGTAACCTTATCTGTACTGAAATCGAAAAAGTTTGTGTCGCATGTTGCACCAGTTCCCATTCTAATGTGCAATTGTTTATCAGAGAGTAGGTTGGGATAAACTTGAGAGTAGTCAGACTAGAATATGGTGAGAATGTCCGAAATCTTCGGAAGTTGTTCTAAGACATAACGAAAACAAATTTTTCCAGCCGCCAAGATGCTAGAAACCATTTGATGAAAACCGCTGCTGCCTCTGAATAAGATTAATTACAATTCACTATATATTATCTCAAAGGATTTTTCGTCTGCTCATTTTTATTTACTTATTCGTTTCTCAACTGCTGCTAAGTTTCTATTCAGCAGTGTTGCCTAGAGGTACTTTATTTTGGAATGTGCACATTAAAGAAAATTATTACGAAAGTTATTTTGAACCATTTTCTTTGAATATGTTCTATGCTATGGCAGGAAGAAAAGGTGATGTTCGAAGCCTACATTTGCTTTAAAAATCTCCACACCCTTATCATTATTTTTAGTTTCAGTTGGTGGTAAACTGACTGGAAAATTGAACACAGGATCATTAATTTCAGACCATTTTCTACAGTGGACATAAACAAAAAATCGAAAAACGACTCATGTAGTCTTAGCCGAGAAACATGTATTTGTCTTGTACCTTTGGGTTTTGAGGGAAAATAAATTCACGTTTATCTGTTCACTCATTTTTGAAATCACTGAACTGAAAAATGTAGTGAAATTTAATTATGAGAAAGCGTAACATCAATTGCTACACAGTCATTTCTATGTGGAGCAAGTAATCAGTTATTCAGTATTAGATTCACTATTACTGGTTATAACTCCTGACTACCTCAAAATGCTTTATTAATTGTCAAACACTTCCATTACTGAAATACTATTGTTATGTAATATAGACTTTGCAAACACTTGTCGGTATTAAATTGGGTGATTTCATCGAGCGAATTGGGTGAATTTCAAAACCACAAGTGCTGATTTGTATGATGTAAACAGATCATCAGAAGAAGAGTGAATAGGTTTGATAATAGAAGCCTGCTTATCAAGGCACTATAATCAGCATCCCGGAACTGTTTTGACTCAATCAAGTAAATAACGAATATCTGCAATTTAATGCGTGACCCTCCAGAAGGCTTGCAGTGTCATAATTTACCCCTTTAATTTAGTTTAAACGGTACTACAGAACAATTCACCGGTTAATGATACGTAACTAGTCCATATTGAGTGCAGTCTACTAAGTCAGTTCATGAGCATCGTTACATAAGGATAGGCGAAACAATTTAGTCACCAATAATATTTCAAGTCTCGACGTTTGAAAAACGTATTTAAATCAAATATGAATGTTGAAATGTGCTCGAAGACCACTCTATTTCATACGTAGCCCTAACTAACGCTACACTATGGCAATTAAACTTGAATTACATAAAGCCAGTTCCTATTTTCTAATTGACTAGTCTGCAGATGTGCTATTCACCAAATGCTTTCAAACTGGAAAACATACATAAGATTATTTTTTTGTCAGTCCTTAAAGAATTATATATTCCCTCATGCCACTTAACAAAGGTTCTCAACGATCAACATATGACTTCGTAGTTCAACCATAGTCATCAGTAAGAATGGTTGTAGCAGGGTGCTATGGATACGTACGATTAGAGAGCAGTAAGCTGTAAATAAGCATATGTTCAATGCACACAGATTCTCAATATTGCTTCTTGCCTTGATCAACCGAAAACATAAACATAAAGCACTACTGTCAAAAGCAGAATATGAATCAGCGAAACCCGTTTCAACTCAATGGTTTCATAGTTTTGTAAATTTTGATTTTAACTAGTAGCACAAGAATTCCAATCTTTACTGTCTTAAGCATAATATTATGTTCGTAAAATAGTCCACATAAACCTGACAAACTTACCTCCAGATTACGGACTTGTAATTTATAAGGTTCAACTGTGAATATATTCTGTTGATGCATACCAATAAATTTGAATTCACACGCAAAACTGACTGTAAGTTAAGATTAATTACAAGAGGAATCACGATAACTTCATCTTATCAAATCAAGGTGGGAAATTTGTCTGCTAGAAATTTCACTCAGAATGAAATTATTACAAGGAATAGAGTCTAAATTATCAGCTCAATCAAAAACAAGTACCAACGACATCAAGAACCCAGCTTGGAAAACACATTACAACCAAAACCATCCACCTGAGCCACAAATATTCTCCATTATTACATAATCCTTTAGTAATTATATCAAAGTCATAAAAAGTCTTAAGATATCCTGGAATAAGTACATGATCAACTTCATTAAGGATGTAGATGAAAAGAATCACTATGTACAGATAAACTGCCCATTTAGGCAAGAAAAATTAAATGAATATGTTCGTAATAACATGGGTCAGTTGGAGATCAGCCACAAAGTCTATGAAAACACAATGCCATTAAACATTTGTCTCATCCCAGTTTTAAATTCCTCGGAAATGAGCACTTATTACCTCAAACAATGGAGAAACCATAACTATTAGATATTGTGCTGAGCCCTTTGACATTCAGTTAATCTAAGGGGACTAAGCAATCTCAATCACTTCACGATAGAACAAAAACATTCAATACCATCGAGAAATACTTGTCCTTAACCAAAATTGATGATCAAAGGTCTTAGTTACTCATTAGAACTGTAGAAGCTGCAAAATTATTTTTAGATCGAAAAGTCTTCGTTATAAGTGTACTGAAAGCATGAAAAAGGAAATAGTAGCAAGTAATCAACATTATGCACTATTAATTATTACTGGTCCACATGTTGGTCGTCCAAAATATCTAACACCGGTTGATGAAAATACCAAAATCATCTGAGATGTATTCAACAGGAACTAATTTCAACTGTTACCTCAAGAAAAGATCACACCGTTAGTTGCTTAATCAAACTATAGAGAGAGAATCATTTGAAGTTATGAAACACAACCAATTAATTGCACTGACTACAGTGGGTCAGTTAGTGATCAAGTTTTATCTTCAATATACGGCATTTGAAGCTGCATGATAGCAAAGCGCTACCGATAGTCATTGTCCAACAAAAGATAGTTCACGTTTAGTCTATTAACTGAGAGGAAATTATCACAGTTGAGTGCTTGAGTTCACTTAGTGGATGTTTGTCTGATAGTTCAGTTATTTAACCTTTAATCTCTGAGTTTAGGATTGCATAATAAGTAACCAAGTAGAAGTAATAAACCTCGCGTTGTACCGAATATTATTTGTGTAACATATACATTGTATTCAGGTGCGCATATTTGGTGACAGTAGATAAATCAGTGACATAGCCACGTAACAGTCTTTGGCGTATTTAAATTCTTTTTGTTTTGACTTCGTTATCCCTACTTCAAGCAAATCTATTTTTCGACGTTTGCGGTACTTCCCTGTATTTGAAAGAAAGTAGCCAGAACGCATATATTGCTAACTGGATTAGTAGGTGCTGATCTGAAACACAGGGATCAGGGCAATGATACTTTAGATAAATATCTAAAAATGAATCTCAAATAAAAGTTAGTTGGTGGGTTCCTTCTTTCAGTTTGCCAGTGATTTACAAACTGCACAGTCGATGTTGACATTTCTCATAGGTGAGTAGTTTTTTAGCTGCAAAACTGTGCTGCCAGTCAGCAGCATTTCCAATGGAAGCCACCCAGCCAAGATCATAAGGTGTGATTTCTGACCCAAAAGTGTAATGGACTAACGGAGTATACTACTACTTTTAGGTATGGCGGTCCATGCAAATCGGCTAGCTACATTCTGGTGATCTGAAAAAATTCTGCGCTGTCAGCTGAATTTGTTGCGTTTCACTGCTGATAAGCACGGCTTTGAATGAGCTTAATGACCGTTTGGTGTGTAGATCATTCTGCTCTGGCTGGTGAAATCAATTCACAGATCAGCCTGAGAGGCTTCTAACTACTCAAGTTGTTCAGTAGTATATTTCCTTAGTTCATTACAATTTTGTGTCAGAAGTCACACTTTGCGATCTTGGTCGGGTGGTTTCCAACAGAAACCTTGTTGACTGGCATTAGAGTTGGGCAGCTGAAAATCACTCAACCTATGAAAAATGTCACTATCAACTGTGCAGTTTGTAAATAATTAGCAAATTGAAAGGAGGAACCCACCAACTCACTTTTATTTGAGACTACCTCTTTAATACTTACCTGAAGTAACACTGCCTTGATCTCTGTGTTTCTAATCAGCACCCACTAATTGAATTGGCAATATATGCATTCATGCCAACTTAAAAGTTAAAAATATTTTTTCTGTGCCATCCTACTTCACAGTCAACATTCACTATCGAAATGGCAGATATATCTGGGTAAAACCTAGGACTTAAATGCATCAATTCAAGTTATCATTCTCACAAAGTAGCACGGAAACAGAAATGAGTAGAAAATAATGATATCAGCGTAGGTGAAAATATATGGGAGGATAGGTAATAAGTGAATGATGAGTAAGGAAATGCTTAAAAATCTGAACAGATAGAAAATATGTGAGTTTGTATCATTATATTTGATTTCGAACCATATTACTAACAGTCTTTAGTCGATAATTCTTGTAGTTCTCAGCATTACTCATATCAAAACTGTGAGACTTCATGTACTGTTGGTATGTCTTAGTCTGATCACTATTCGCTTTATTTCAGCTTAATTGCACTTCGAGTAATATCACACATCACGGTTTTTGCTGCTTTGGAATGCGTAATACATGTTCAGTTCACCTCATCGATGAAAGACCACAACCTCACCAACTTACTTGCTGTCCTCACCTAATACTCTGTGCGTAACTTCAGCATACCTTACTTTGTGACTAACGGTATGAAGATAACTATAATCAAAAACGTGTAATTTATATCTTCCACTTCCGTTGACTGTACCTCACAACCATAGACTACAACGAAGCTGAATGTGGTCTATTTGATTTTGGTGACTGACAGAGGAATCGAAGACGCGCGTTTCGTCCTATTTGGGACTCATCAGATGGATGTACCTCGACCCCAGTGGGTGATATTGTTTCCATAAGGTTCGAACCCAGTGCCCGTCGCTTCAAACGCCAAAGCGTTATCTACTCAGCCACAATAACTACATTTTGTCCATCGGGTTTCAGTTGTTTGTATGATACTTGTAATTTCTTGTTGCTATAAAACGTGGCTCTCGTACCTTAGTGGCTTGGCGGATAACTGCGTTTTGAAGCAGTGGTTACTGGGTTCGAGTGTCAGTGGGAACAACATTACTCATTGGGGTGCAGGTACATCCAGCTGACGAGTCCCGAATAGGAGGAAACGAGAGTCTTGGATTCCTCTGCTAGTCATCAAGATCAATATAACATCGTGAATAGCCGATGGTATCGAGGCATCCACATAGGAGCCTATCTGCCAACAGGAGTCGAGCCATTAGACACTATATAGCAACCAGAAATAACAAGTATCATAACAACAACTGAATGTGGTCTGTTATGATCTTCCTTTGATAGATATTCGGATATCTCACTGGTGTCAAAAGTGGCGTAAGTTGATAAGGGTAAAATAACCTTTTTTGCTCGAAATCTTATCTAAATATGCTTTTTTAAAACAACTGTAAACTTTTATACGTCATCTTCGATGCCACTTCTAAAGTGTTTTTATCGATAAAATAATTGATAGAATTTAAATTTCTGTTGTTTCAAATCTCTCAGATCAATTCAGTGTCATTTAATATACTACTTAATTACTTAATTAACTAAATACTAAATGCACACTGTTTCAAGCATGCTGTCGTTATTCTGCTTCTGAAACTTGATAATCTAAGATTGAAAATTTTTGGCATCTATTTTTGGTTGACATAGATCATCACCATATTGGTAAATTTGTTGTGACAGAGAGTTTATTGTTCAAAGCTAAAAATGATTATCAGACAAATTCTTCAAACATGTCGCGAAACTTATTGAACTAGACCTATTTAAATCAAATAATTTTTCGTCATACTAAAATTTTCATTGCAGTGTCAAAAAGGATTGTCTATATGTTATCATGATGGGCAATGAACAATCAAGGTTTTGAACCAACATTTCTTTATCTGTTGCAACTTATAAGGGAATACCAAAAAAGTGTACACTTCTGCCGGTAAGCGAGTTGCAAAAACGCAACTTAGCATCCAAGTTAGTTACAGTTCTGCTGTAATCACCACTTTTCTTCACAATAATAAGAGTAGTAAAGTCTTAAACAAGTACAGAAAGAAGATACAATGCTAGCATACATTTGTATCAGCTTAAAAACAAATTATTCAATTTTTCGACTAATCCTGATTTTTTATATATTCTAAAAGCTATTTTTGACTGACCTAAATGAATTATACAGTCTCCAGTGGAATGTCTGAAAACAGAAATACGATAACCATTCCAGTATGCCACATATTCCTGAAATTGAAAAAGTAGATCAACACATTCAAGTTTGACAAAGTTGCAAAAACAAGTGATAGCTACCAATAGTGATGAAATAATAGCTGCTGTCAAAGATCACTTATTAACAATAAAGTATTAAACTGAATCGATATTATGTAGTGAAATAACCTATCAGGAAGGTCTTCTTTTTCAATTGATGCAAGGCTCATTAAGAAACAAGAAATATCACATGATGAGTAGGTTGAAGTCAATATAAGACCAATTTGGTTTTTTTCGACTGGCTAGTCCAAATTCTGACTATCACTTTCACATTGAATGATTGGTGATTAACTCATTCAGTATCCAAAGAACATAAAAATTGATAGAAGCTATTTCAGTTTCTCAGAAATAAGTGAATACCAGCCAGTAAAATCAATTAAGGCATACTTTTTTTAAAACTTCGTCGGTACAATCAGAATTATTCAAAGATTTTGCATTACTGATTGAAATCAGTTGATTAATAACTTAGGACATGACAACAATAAACACTTGTTTCCTTCTAGTTTTGGATTACTTAGCAATAAGCATCTTTGACCCCTTGGAAGTTGAATATGGGATCATCAGGTCTCGTAATATAACCATTACCATTCAGCCAATGGTTTGAAATTCAATCCTTGTCACTTTCCCACTTCTATTGATTCATGATATAGTGAGAAAGCATTATATATGATGGTCAGTTTAGCTACAATTAAAAAAAATTCAAAAAAGTAACTTGATAACTTTCGAAATCTGAATGTCAAAAGAGGTAAGATACCGATGACACAAAGTAAAGATTTCAGCCGATAATTAACAATTATGCTAACTGGTTTTACAGGGTAGTGAAGCTTTGTGATTGAACAATAAATCAACTCGATTGAAAATAAAAACGAATAATGAAGTTTTATCAGAAGACCTGAGATGACTAGGTTTACATTTTAGTGGAAAGATGACGTAAAAGCAGTCAGGAATTATATAATCACCGATAGTCCTGTGATTGTTCATTTTACACGTAAGTCAGATGAGGTGAAATATTTTCCTTAAAAGAGATACAAAGACGTTATTTGAACTTTGATAAATTCAGTATATCTACTACAGTCAAATTTAATATAAACTTTGGCTAAAGAGGTTGCACATTAATTCCATATCCAAGTATTCGATGACTGAATTTCCTACCTTGCAGCCTTTGATATCTGCCATTTAAAGCATCTGCACATTAGCTCGATCGAATAAGTGGTAATGATTGTCTAAATGCACTGAAACAGTCTGGCTGATATACTTGAATTCTTTGAGCAGTCTGACGGTTAGTTTGGTCAACGTAGTATTGAAAAAAAAAGTCTTTGTAGCTGATTTTGCAAACCATATTTTTCCAACTTTTCTTCTGATAGCATCATATGTTCACTATTATTTCGCAAGTTCGTGTGCCGCACTGATTCGAAACAGATGAAGCGACAGGTTGATAGTCTCGAAAAAATCTTTGATGTAGGATGGATTATTGTACCTGTTAATTCAAGGTAGCTGCACGGTTCTCTGTTCTGAAGATAAACATTTTATGGTGGTGGCAACCATTGACCTTGAATACTTCGTCCAGGTATTTTTCTTCCACTTCTCGTAACAATTCAGCTCTAAAATTGCGTCTTGACTCTTGAAAAATGTTTGTAAACGAAACTTCTTATGGGCTGCGAGGTAGTTACTATTGTAGCTAAAAGACTGATCAGTGTGTATGGTGTCTCTATTCTTTCGTTTTTGCTGGGCTGATGAGGACTTTTAAGAGTGAGATCTCGTCATTTTTTCCTCTTTTGTGAATCAAATCCTCTGAAATTTAAACTAATTTTCTACTTCATCCTCCTAAAAGATTACAATCGTGTCATCAAAGTGAAAAATGTTCAGATTTTTGGTTTAACAAGAGAACAGAATATTGAGTTCAGTCGCTGCATCACCGCTTCAGCAATCAAAAGTAAAATTCACGATTCTATAGGCATCCTTTCTGTTCGTTTTTAAATCTTGTCACTAAGTTAACATGGGTTTAAAGGCATAGATCTTTCAACTACATTACATTTGGAGTGGTTGGTTTTGTACAGTTTGAGCGATTTATGTCGTTCTTTAGTCCTCTTATTTTCCAGAGAGATTGATTCATCAAACTGATTAGGTATTTAGTTTGATTGACATGGTGTTTGAGTTTTCTGTATAGTTCTTTTAAGAGACTGAATAGTAATAGAGGTTATAGAAATATCAGTAGTAGTAGAATATCTATTCTATATGCTCTTGGTTGACCATAAAGCCATATAAAAACTGATACCATTGTCTTCACTCACCAAGGTTCTTCATTTGTGATTTGAACAGATTTCGCCAATTTTTCCAGTTTTATTTGGGTCTGATCATTAAATTATCTAGTTGAATTTTAATCTAGAAGTTGATAAAAGTTTTCACCAGCAACTCGCTCCTGTGCATTTCCAAAACTTATCCCATATTATTCAAGTAGACGACTCCTCCATTATCCCATGGCCCTATTACAACTGCCTTGTCACCCACTAACGACCTTAGTGTATTTGTTTCCCTAATGTCCAGTAGATGTTGATTTCCTCAGATTCTCACTAAGGGTAGAATTGATAAACGTATTCCCTGTTGGTTTTATCAATAGTTATATCGGAAATTTTCAAAGAAAATTTCAATTTTCCACAAAAATCTAGTCTGTTTGCGTTCCCACTGTTATAGTCCAGTTCTTTCTGAACTAAAGTTTACTGCATTTTAAAAAGTGGCTTTCCTGAAAGACTCATTGTCTAATCGTCCTTTCATTCCTTCACCATTGGTTGTGACAGCTTGAGTAATTTGTCATCCAGCCTCTTCCTACTTTCTGCGTCTTTGGTCCTAGTTGTTCTTTTGATGGTCCTTGTCAATTTGTTTATCATTTATACTCCAATAATTTGTTCTGGTATTTTTTGGTGAGATGTAATTTTCATTCTCATCTTCAACTACAAATATTTTTCATCGTATTATTGTCCTTTTTTCAGATAAATTAACTCGTTTAACAATCCACAACTCATGAAATTGATCAATCCATAGTAAATCTCCTGCAGTTTGATCGTAAAACCTAGCCAAATAAAAAACCCGAAGAGAACAAAACAGTGTTACCGAGGTTGTGAAACAACCAGTCCATGTGATGAAACCAGCCAGGTGCAAAATCTGTTTCCGATCAACTAAACATTTTATGCTTTCTGTACAGTCTGAGAAGTTCTGGTTGAATCGCTGCTAAGCATTCATGCTGTTCACTATCAAGATTTGATTAATAAATCGTTACAATAATTTCACTTGAATCTTGAAAACTGATCATTATAACTTTAGGTTCTCACTACTGAAGAAATCTCCACCACATCGATCAGTTCAGAAACTGCCATTTACCTCAAAACAGCATGTTTTACTTCCTGGTTGACCTAGAGGACAATAATGGCATCGCATCCATTGAACTAATGAGTAAAATGAGATTAAAACCAGTTTAGAAAACTATTAATAAAACAGTTGAAGATGAAATCGATTGTAATACTAGGTTCAATTTTTTTCGAAGCATTAATGATATCCATAGGTAGGCGAGTAAATCTAAAGTGTATTTTCCAAATGTGAAAATAAAGCTTTCGGTATGTTGAAAAGTAGAACCAATAATGATGAAGGTTAGTCAGTTGATTGGTCCTTAGATTGGCACCCAAGAAAAGCAAATGGGATTTTTTTTCCATATATAAACCGTACATTTGCGCTAAATGGGATGCTCAATAAGAAGAAGAAAGCTCTTTTCGGCCAGATTAAGACAGTAACAACTTATAAGTCATAAACTACATCCATTGAGTGATATGTTATGAGGTTCATTGTTTGAGCCCATAAAATTCTCACAGTAAGTGGTAAACGATCTTAAATGAGGTAGCACAAAATTAGTTTTAGTGATGAAGATAAATTTCTCCTTTATTCTTCCCAAAATATAAACTATCTTAACATGGCTTTTTTTGTTTTCTTCTTACTTCTTGCGGTCTACTACAACATCCTTTCGTTTTCAGCTATACCCTCTTTGAAACTTTCTAAAACACAGGAATTCCATAAAAAATGAGCTGGTAGATCAACAAACAGCATTGCATACAAGTGCATCAATTCAAGTTACCATTACCTCACAGTAGCACACAAAAATGAAACACGTAAAAAGTGCTATCAACGTAGATGAAAGCATATGAAAAGATAGGTAATAAATGAATGTTCGTTAATGAGATGCCTTGAACTTTGAAAGATAAAGGGCGTATGCATCTGTCCCATGATACCTGGTTTTAAATTACCACTGAGAACCATTAGAGCTGCTTTCTGTATATTTAATTGTGGCTTTACGCTTTTGCATTTCCCTGTCTCTGAGTGGTTAGAAACTCCTTCCAGGCTACAAGACAACTTTTATCACAAGTTTGAGTCGATGGAGTAACTAATTAGAACTATAGTTAACGGTTACACATCTTTTGCTATTATGTTATTAGTTTTTGCTAGTTATTTGGCTCATATTGACAGGTGATTCAAACTTTCGTTTTTCTAAGTATGCTTTAGCTCAAAAACTTGAATTCAGTGATACTAACTTGTTCATTGGAGAGATCAAAACTATACAGATAATAGTTCCTTAAGCTTTTTCGAGGATTTCAGGTTGACAAAATATACTTCCTATTGCAGTTTCCAGTTGATTGTATGAACCTTTGACCATTGACTTAAACCCTAATGAAACATTGATTGGGGAATCGCCCACATATAAAACTAAGCACATATCATGTAGTACATTAGTACTGACAAATTTTTAGGATTACAGTTACGTCGAATGCTCCAAAAAATCAGTAAAACTTGAAACTACACTTTTCTCTAATACTCTACCATTTGCAGAAAAGTTCATTATGTCTACAACAAGTGATTACACTTGATTCAAAATTTAAATTCATACTGCTTATTTTTTTCACTAAGAAAGCTTTCTTCTAGGCGTTTGTCGAAACAGATATATTAAAACCCAGATGCATGTAAGATGTGTATGCATGTCAAGACATAGTACGTCTACATAGCTATCATTATTTTTAGATATTTCAAAATTATATTTAATTCGTGAGTGACTGGCTGAAAAGATCAACGTAGAACTTTGCACACAAGTGCGTCGGCTCAAGTTACCACAGTTCACAATAGCATACAAAGAAAGAACAGGTTTATAGAGAAAAAGTGATATCAAAGAAGATAAAGTAGGGTGAGAGAATAAAAAATCTGAAGATAACGGTTAGTGTAAATACTCGAGTTTTAGATACTAAAGAGCAAATACATCCTCACTATTGTCACTGATTTTCAGCCATTTCACCAAGAGTCCTCAACCACGGATTCTTTTCGTCTCAAGGACCCCAACCAGGGAGTCTACATTGTCCTACATGACTCAAACCAGCAGTCAGGGACTTCATCAACTGGTGCCACTTCTTGGTCTTACCACTCTGAACCCTCTTCCAACTTAATCCAGCCTCTCCTCCCATGGTACGTCAAGACAGGCGGTGTCTTGGTATGCGCAGTACATGTCCTAGCTATCTCACTCGACTAAGGTTAAAAGCCTGATCAATCAACTTGTCTGCCCTGTCTAGTACCTTCCTCCTAACCTCAACATTCATCGCATGGTGATTCCACCAAACGCGAGCAATGATACGAAGATACCTATGATCAAAACCCAGTAATCGCTACATGCCTTCTACTTTTAACGGCCACGTCTCATAGTCGTACCATAAGTAAGAACATACTGCAGCATAGTGTACTCATCACTTAATAGATAGTCGGATATCATTCCGGTGCCACAGGTGACGCAAGTTGGAAAATGCTTGATTGTAGATATTCTGCACTGCCTGCAATGTATAGGGTAAAAGAAAAATTAAAAACTGAATAATTTAATATGACTAATGTCTACTAGTACTATTGATCATCAAATGTATACTCTTCAAATTTGGTAGAACAATCTGAACCTACTTGTGTACAAAATATAGCCTTTATTTGATCTTCAACTTGTGCTTCATGTTCGTAAAGGGAAGCATTTTTTTGATTAATCAAATACTTGGAATTTCTCCTCATATTTGTATCTGTCATTATTGGGATTGATTTAGTTATAAAGGAGCCAGGAAAATTTATGGAATTAGCGTCCTTGGAAATAATTACACCTTCTTTTTTACTTTCTTTATTCCCATTTGTTGTAGGTAAATCGTTCAACACGTTTAAATGAGATATATTTATACTTGCTGATGTCTTTGTATCAGGCACTGTAGTGAGCATCGAAAACGAGCGTGGACCAGTTTGTACAACAACGCACCCATTTCCATAGAAATGTGTGTGTAAAGACTGCCTTTGAAGAATATATAAAGAAGATTTGGCTTGCATACCTGAATATTAAATATACAGGTTAAAAGATATTTTTGTTAACATAGATAAGCATATGTAACAATAAGTTAGATGCAGATAATTGGTAACTAAACCCCTGATTATTAGATTTTGATACTTTTAGTTTCCTGTTGATATAACAGATCGAACTGATCAATCATTATCTCCATACGGACTGTTATGGAGGTGACTTGATATTGCCTGAAGACTCATTGTCATAATTTGCTTGATAGTGACTGGTAGCGTCGCTTCCTATTTGGCACTCGTCATCTGCGTGTACACACATCTGAGTGAATGATCACGTTCTGACGGGAAATGAGACCCAGCATGCACCGATTCAAACACCAGAAGGTAATGTTGTAGACTACTGTTTCACAAAAGCCGCCTCTTGTGTAATAGGTGTTTCTTGTTGCTGTCATACTGAAGCAAACTGATCAACCTTTATTGGGACGTTGGGTATTTGAACGAATCCCTTGATACTGTCTCAAGTTTTGTTCTAATGTCGCATAACAGATGGCTTCATGACTCAGTAGCCTAGAAGACAATGTTCTGGTGCTTGAAGCGGTGGGTGCTGGATTTGAGTTTCAGTCGGAATACTATGGCTTACCGAAATACAGGTACATTTCGCTGATGAGTACAGAGTAGGATGAAATTCACATGCTGGATTCCACTGTAAACCTCCATCAAGCAGATTAGATCATGTGATACTTATTGTTTGAGTATTTTACAAAGTCTGTTGAATTTCCTAAATGAATTCGGCTTTTTGACTCTTATTGTTAAGTAAGTGTAGCTGTAGATATAAATGAACATGCATAATACACCCACAGAAAGATCAATGAAAAAATTCAGTGTTATATTGCAGATAAAACTGGATAGGAAAATCTTAGTACTCTTTTTAGGATGTCTTAATATGTATGACTAGTTATGATTAACTGTTCATTCATTATGTTGCGAGCGTACCCAACTTTATTTCGCTGCATTCATGAATTACTCTGACTGAGATCATGTTTAGGGTACTGTTTAAGCCTCTTAAGATCCTGAAGTGTCTAGGAGGTTTGTTTAATAAACGTCTAGCTAAAGTATGCAAAAACAAATGGATCGAAAAAGTCATATAACAATGATTAGAATTTATAACTGGACAAGTTTGAGATGAAGAGTTGCAGAGAATATTCATCTTTATAGAAAAGTCGGATCTCTGCCTGAATTTATACTGTTGATGGTAAATAAAACTGAAGCTTAAATGGATTGAATAGCGTTACAGAATTGTTGATCAAAAACCGTGCTCTATACACCTAACTGAAAGTTTAGACGTAAAGATTATCGAAACAATGAGAAACACAACAAAATAAACCGAAAAACAAACAAGTTGTGCAGGTGAGGAGGGTATAATTTGGTTGCAACATTGTTTAAAACGGTTTTTCTCTTCGGCAAAGTTAAGTTAGGCATCAATCATAATTTATTGAAATAACCTTAGGCAATATTTTTATTTTATATTCCAGAAGTTTACCATTTTGTAAAAAAAGAAGTCATTAGTTTCCACTTCTTTCACTTTTAGTGTAAACAGTCGCATAACAGCAGTATAAATAGCATGTACAATTAGAATAACAGTGTCATCTTGGAATTGTCACTGAATCCGTTCAACAGCATAAACTGAGGAGTGAAGCAATGACAGAATAACTTGAACGATGAAAACTTATTTTAAAGGACTTATTAGAAAAGCGCATATCTTACTTCTTTTTCTTGTATATCTGCTTGATATGTTACAAAACTATGAGTAATATAAGAGTTTTTGGATACTTTAAGGTACCATGTAAACTGAAAAAAAAGACATGCGCATGTCAAAGTAGTAATTAAGTTAAACGTTTCTGGGTGATTTCAAGAAAAAAAACTAAGTTGGAATCTGAAAAGAAATAGATAAACACATAGAAAAATTGTCTCGATCAAGTATGCATTCAAGACCGTCGAGACATCTTAAAATAGTCTTAGATCAGTAACATGTAAGATTAAAGGTAAGTTTTAACTTCTAGAAAGTAAACTGATTACAGCAAAGGAAATATTGAAAGTATTCACTATAAATGCAAAAGCAGAAAGGAGCCCAACAAGACCTCTCCCTAACCACTTTGTAAAATATATTTTTTAGATAAAATGTTTACCAGTCTGTCTGCTACTTGCCTTCGGTACAGGGTCATTGACTTTACATACAACATCAAGGAAACATATGTAATACGAACTTATTGTCCATACTGCTCACTTTACCTACCTGACTTCTATTTATCCAAAAGCTTCCTGCGAAATAATCAAAGATTTGTAGTGTTCTTCAGAAGTATTACAACATAGCAATACAAGCCCTCAAAGGATAACCTCTCGGCTGTTTAGTATTGATTACAAAACCGAAATCAGTTACTAGCCAGTTGAGTGCACAATTCAGTAGACGTGGAAGGCAAAAATATTTTATTAACATCATCCTTATGTGTAAAATATAATCGTCTGCTTGGAGTATGATTAGCGTATTTTCTTAAAAGGTATAACTAACGGTAAACTCTTCTCAATTACAACAAACTCACTTTTTAGGAGCTGGATGATTATAATAAATTGCTGCAATTAATATTTTTATCAAGAAATAGATTTTGTCTACTCTTTTTAAGAAATATAACGCTTGCAAGATAACATAAAAAACAATAAAGGTTCAAAAACCATTTATTAAGCCTAAAAACACTTAAATAATCAAGTCATCATAGATTAATCTTCAGAGACCACATAGTATATGTATTTGCGTATGTATCCAATACGTACCGTGACCATAACCTGCATTATCAATTGACTGGTGCAGCAAGACAACAACAGATAACTTCTCTTGTTTATCACCCCAAGTAATTAATAATATATGATGGTTCAACTCAGGGGATACAGAGGGAATTGCTTCATCCTGCTGATCTTTCCAAGTAGCACTCGGTTGTGGATGCCAATTAGTTTCCGGTCTACTTTCTATCATGCTGTTTTTGAGACTGTGAGTTGCGCAGTTATCTAAAAAACTGTTGCAACCTTGGGTCAAAAGACGAGTAACGTCGTTAACTGATTCCAACTCTGTACCATATTGCCAAAATGCAATCACTCCATTGTTCAGACCTGCAGCCAAAACGCCTTAAGAAAATGAAAATAATGAAAATTCCATATAGCAGGCTTTGTAGTAGCAAGAAGTATTAATGATGTTAACTCAACATTCAGAACCCAAAAACGTTAAGTACGAATTTATTATTTAATACGTGCATAGCCAACAAGTGGTTTGAAACAAGACTGAGAGACTGAAACTTGTGACAAAAGAATTTCATTCACAAATGAAAACCTTGACACTTGTGTTGCCATCACATTTATTAAGAATATTTGTAAGCCAAACTTATAAACAAGAAAGTTTCTAAAATGTACACGTCTTTCCACCTATAAGTTTTCATCATCCAAGTGAGTTCACTAGTTCCTGACAGCTTACAAAAATGACATATCAAACCAAAACTCTGATTTAGGAGTATTTCAGTCACTTTTCTACAGTAATTGCATATCACAAAGCGATTTTATTTCTCAGAAGGGTAAGAACTGCTTGGTACATACTTTGGAGCTATAATAAGTGAATAGGTATATTTGAAACAAATACATGAATTGAAGTTAAAAGTCTTCACAGCATAAGTTAAAGACAATAAACCAATACGAAAACATTTGATGTTTCATTTTTCAACCATATTTCGACATCGTTTTGCATGATGATATCACAATAAGCTCATGTATTGCACCTGTTTTAGTAATGATTAAAGTGATTTATCTTCGCTAGAGAATACTAATAAGTCTTTAGGGGTTTTTGAATCCTATAGTTTAGAGAATAGTGCAAACAAAGCACATTGAGAAAGTGAATGTCCACCGAGTTCCTATAAAATTTACTTTTGTTATAAACTGTTATATATATACATATAATATACACCTAACAAGCAAAATTTACAACTTACGACAGGTTTCCGAATATGCTAGATGCAAAACCTTCACATCAGTTTTTGAGTTCTCCAGACTAGATAGATTCGGATTTAACGTATAGTTATCAGCCCGCTCGACATCCCATAGCCGAACAACAGGTTCTCCCAAACCCATAGCAAGAGTTGTATCACCTGCCCATGTAATTGAAGGTTGAGAGCACAGTGTTGAAGCTAATTTCATCTAAAAAGGTACAATGAAACGCCTTTTCAGTCACTGATAAAAAAAGCTGACAAGGCGTATTTAACAACATAGTTTTCTAGCAAGATACATAAACGTTTTCCGCACACATAACTGAATACACTTTTTTCAACTGGGTTATAGGTAGTTTTCTCATACAAAGTTTGGTTCCAAACTGGTTGCATCTCAGATTTCGACTACTTTTGGGGCTGAAGTTTCAAATCCATTTCCTTACAGTGTCACATGGCTTGACTGGTGAGATAAACAATTTCATATGCAACCAAGATATATCTTATAAATTCTGACTGCACAAACTAATTGCTACGTTATATTAGCTGCACTTTCCAGCAAAATATTCTCAGAATATTGTTGAGCCATCCTCTTAGCTCAATTTAGATATCATGGTAGGCCAAACAATTTCTCGAATATCTCTTCCAACCTCTATCATCAGTGAGAAGAAGGAAACAAAAAATACTGCCTCCTTATTGTTCTTCACTACCAGTAACGTATTCCAGTAAGAGAGTAAGGACTTAGCAATTGCAGTTTTCTCATAAAGTCTGCATTCCGACTAAACTATAAGTCAAATTACGGTTTTACACTGGATTTTAGCAGGTGAAGTCCCTACATTTTATGTATTTTGCTAAGGTATTTACTAAACTACCGAGAATGCTTTCGACATCAACCTTATTAATAACAGATGATGTTAAGCACTGAAGGATTATTTATAATGACGAAGGCAGGTTAGCACTTCAAACTGACTTAGATGAACTTGGAAAATGGTCCAAGTGCTGATTTTTGGAAGTCAGTCCCATTAAGAGTGCTGTAACGTACTTTGATGTAGCTTGAGTAGTATGATTTATTGAGCGGATCAACACTACCTTATGTTAGTGAACAAAAGGATGAACAATTTACTTTCAGAATCAAATTCAAGACAAAAATAAACAAAGCGAAAACGTAAAAGTCAAGAAAACTTTCCTTTCAAAGGCTTCATTTGCTAAAGCTTTACAATGGCATTTAAAGTCACTGACAATGAATTCATCCTTAGAAACGTTAACTTCGTGCTAACTCATACAAATCTGACGGTAAAACGCAAGAACTTATCCACTTCCTTTATCGCCAGCGAATCTTGATATCCCTCAACAAACAGAAAATTCATCTACTAAGTAATAAAGTTTCACATAAGCTGCGTCGATAAAATTGTTTTCAATGATTTAAAATACGATTTCACAGCTTTAATAACCGAAACCTCACAGAAACTTTTCTTTGTTGTTACATCTTTTTGTCACCTTATCTGGGAACTTTCCACTTTTTAGAGAACAACGATACACTGTCCCATGATCTCGGATAAAGTATTTCTGACACTGAGGTCAATTTGTAGGGGCTATAAACTCTTCAAGAATTATGTATTCATGGTGCTGTCTCCTATCTTTATAAGATCTCACCTTGGCTGCTGCGAACAAATAACTTTCAAAAAGAAAATTCAACGCTGAAACGGTTACAAAGTATGGTTATTAACCGGATTTCCCTATGTTTATTTTGAAAAACAGTTGGAAATTTTAAATATTTTTCTATTATCATTTTGTAAGAAAAAAATGTGATCTGATTTTGATTATAACATCTCAAATAAAAGCTGGAGGGTTGATCTGTTTATTTTTTACGTCCCTTCTAGGATCTATTGTATAAGAATTCACCACAAAAATATTCAGAAATGGTATTTGAACAAACAGTGAATGAAGCTCACAATTCTCTCACAGGGAGTTCAACGAATAAAAATTGTCATTGGAACTCGTTACAGCGGCTTTTTCGATGAACGGTTCCAAGCAAAAACTAGATTTTTATATAGACATCTGCCACGAGGAATAACACAGCCTAATTTACCTACTAACTTTAACACATAAAACCGGTTTCTTCAAAACCATAACCAGATTTCATCAACTTGTAAGTGGGATATCAATATTCTTTAACTTTTAAAAACACATCATACTCATTACTGACTTGAACCACCGTCTGATTCGAAATTCAAAACACCTCTTAAAAAGAAATAATTAAAAACCAAAGTGATTACAAACTACCTATTTTCGTCAGTTTACCTATCTGAATTTCGCATTTAATGTGTACTCTGGTGCTGAGGTCTAATAAATCTCCATTGGAGAAGCAAATTTAAAGTCTGGTATTCCACAGTTATACCACATACAGGTAGCATGTTTCGCATCCTTGTCTAGAAAATAAGTCATTACAAGCGACAGCTTCTCGATGTAATTGTATACAAATATAAATTTCTTCGCCACCACTGAAATGGTCGTCAAAACATCCACTCTGTTTTCAGAGCCTCGAAATGGAATTAAGATTTGTAACAACCATACAGCTGTTGACCATTTAGTACGAAAATGTCTCATTAGGAATAAAAATACGTTCGAAGGTTCTGAGACAGCAACAAAGAACTATAAAACCAAGGTTTGTTCTGAGCAGTAACCTTCTGGAGACCATTGCAGCACTGAATATAGGTGAACCTTAGTGTGGGTCATCCATCATCAATAAATTTTGAATGAAAGTGTAAATACATACATTATGAATACTCAATAGCTTTCCACATGCATGTTAAATTGATCACAATATGGCATAAACAGGGAAATTTACCTTTGCCATTTCCTTCAGGGAAAGAACATTGCCGAATGTGATATGATAGTGATACAGCAAACCTTTGTCGGTGATGACCAGAAGAATTCGTTTTCTTTTATGAGAAAGCATATTCAGAACGCTTCCTTCACAGCACGCTACATTGCTTGAATTATTCATTTCGCTTGTATTCCGACTATCATATATAATGCTGACTACACGCCCTGTAAGCCTTTCAAAATTTAAGTCGAGCAGTTAATTACCATCACTACATCCAACTACAAATAGTTCAAAACTAAGAAACTGTGTATTGCGTTTGGATTCATCCAAAACTTTATAACGTTCAGATTCAAAAACCCCATTATCTTGACTAGAAAAATCTACGAAAATATTTTCTTCTACCTGAAAGCTGATTCTGCTGGCTGGACATCCTCACATGACAGACTTGAGAGCGATTTCTGCTTAGGAATTGATACTGCACATGAAATATTTGAGTTAACATTGGAAACACTGATATTTTTCTGTTCAAAATCACCACCTCTAGCATATTCAAATATGCAAACTGATCCTTGCACATCGGTCACTAGAACAAAGTTACCATCCGAAGACCAAACTAAAGACGTCACTGACGCTTCTACTTTATGACTTATGTCAAATGTATTACGTTCTGACGCATTGAAAACAGTCATACAGCCATTGTCCCATCCGATCAATAATGTCTCTTCAAAAGGATGCCAAGATAAACATGTAACTGTGAAAGGTCTTACTATGCTTGTGTCCTCACATTTCCAATCCTAGCTAGTTGGGATTACGATTGTTAAAATTTACTTGTAAGCTTGAAACAGTGACTTCACCACATTCCTTGCGTGTTTGTAATGCAACTGCAAAAACTGAAACACTAGAATGCCATTCGAGTATTTTGATTACTCCAGGTGAGTCTTTCAATTTCGTACTCAAGAAGACAGACATTGTGGTTTACCCTATAATCAAAAACAAAACCTAGCAACGAGGTAGCGGAAATGACCTAGGTGACGCAGTATAACGAGCTTTTCCGTATCCAATATTCAAATTGTTCATGTGAAAAAAAAAAGCAAAATTAGTCTACTTTGTATTCTGTTCTCATTGTAAGAAAATCCTCATCTAGTGTGGTTAATTCCTGTAATATGGTGTATCATAGATACTTTGATGAAGCTTATCATAAACTTCAGAAAGATAAATAATAAATGAGAAGGATAAAACTTGGCTAGGTAAACACGAGGCCTCCTGTTAAAATGTTCCGAATCACTATGTCATATAAACCGAGCTCACTACAATGGTAAATCTGGGCAGCTGTAGCTTAACTGCAACTTCAGATATATGAGCCTTCTCTGACTAACGTGCTTGGGGAGTGTAGATAAATGGTGTTCCTCCCATCTAATGGTTGAAATATCTACCGGAAAGATATAAAAAAACTTGCACTCAGCTAGCTGTCTGTCTGTAACGTTCCTAAAGTAAGATGAACGTCTACGGAATTCCCCTTGCGAACGCGACAAAAGTGATGTATTCCATGTGGAGTGCTAATGCATTCATCATTAATGTCTGCTAGGTTGTAACCAAGATGCTACTAACAACAATGATAATCTATTCAGAATAGTGAATTTTACGGATGCACCATTTTAACAGGCAATATCCGAATCTTATTGTTCTAAAGAAAGCTGAGAAAACTTTCAGAGCGCAAGTCGTAACCCCATATTTAGTCCCCTAGATTACGCTACTTTTGGATACTACTAGCCACAAAGTTTGGGTAAACATCATTTAGCTAAAATGCAGAAGTGAAATGTAATACGAGAACTATCGGTCAGCATTAGCAGCAACCTGGGAGTAGTGGTTGGCCATCGATATTCTTCGGTTAATGAAAGTTGCATAAGCACTTAGAGCACATGGTACATTATATGTTGAGCACACGTGAATCTGAAGAAATGTGAATATTCAATGGACTTCGGCTGCCCAAATGAACTTGAATGCTGTGATAGACGAAAAGAAAAATTTGGGACCGGTATTGTGGTATCACGCAGTGTTGCAGTGGGCTAGGCCTGTATTTTCGGAAAGAGAGATGGGTAAATAAATTCAGCCCCAGATGCAACTCACTCTGGCAACTGTTGTCGTACTACGACCGATGATATGTAAGGCGTTGCCACTGAACTATTCAGCATGACCTCAAGGTTAGGGCTCTGTGTGAGATCAGTTTCTGTCTGCGTCATTATGGGACGGATAGTTGCAGTTGGCTTAGAACATGCTCGTTTCGACACTGGTAAAATTCTTGATGCCAAGATGTCCAGATGAAATTCCGAGAGAAGCCACAACCTTCGGGTGAGCTGCCAAAATATCCACCAAGCATTGCTTACATAGAGAACTTGCCTACGCAGAAGAAAAATGAATGCAGGCACAAGTGGATATGGAATAAGTTGTGGTGTACTTAAGTCACTAGCCAGTGAAGTCTGAATGTGAAAAAATAACCCAAATGCAGATGCCATAGTTGCACGAGGATTGTTCATCTTATCAACAGTAAACCATGATAATACAGCGGCTTCTGACCGTGCAGTCCAAGTTTGAAGAGGTGGGATCTGGTTCACAGGAATATGAAATGGTGACATGATAGTGATTAAGAATGTTGGCTAGCAAAAGGTAGTCAACTATGGATGGGCCGAGTCGCACTCCATGAAGCTGTCTTCTGCACCTCATACATACGGTAACACAAACATCGTATGCATCATTCTTTGTCCAGTGACGCTGAAACTACCCGTCCAGGCAGTGAGAAACATCGGCCTAATTGACAGTCGAAAAGATAAAGAATGTGCTTTTGAATACGCAGAAAATATGGGCGTGAAGAAGTGAGCGAATAGGAGTCTTAGCGTGTAAAATAGGCAGACATGATGTAGGAACTTTGGGGAGGAACACCAAGAACAGGGTGTTCTCAGTAACAGGACTAAGGGTATTTTAAAGTCTTTTGCAGCATGGTGAGTATACCGTTCACCACATGGTGGCCATCCTGCCATGGAGGGAAGACCGACAGTTGTACAGAGTTTTCGCTGGCCCAAACCAAAAACCGCTTGCTCAAAACCCACTTATTGTATTCTTAAGTCATAATAGCTTTTACTACCCTGTGGACTGTGAAGACCCTCGGAGCCATCGCTTAGTGCTTCCGTTATGTGATATCTACCTACAAGTAGACTGCAGATACCATCTGGACCCAAGAGCAAGTTGAGTAATAATAATAATAATAGCCGATTAAACTGTAGCAAAAACGTACTGCCACATACGTATAACAGTGGCTTATTCCAGATTGAGCCCAAGCATCCAGCAAAGAATTCTCATCCAACCAGCTTTACTGAGTTTGCCTATCTTTGGCATGAACGTATGATTTCTAGGGTCGAAAAGCCGTACGTATCTGCGAGTGGGTAGGCACAAGCGGTGTGACGGACCACACAAAATTTCTTATGAGATAGCAGAAATGTTTCCTAGACTCTGTTTCCATACAGGTTCAATGGATAGAATAGTCCACCTGTCTATGTAATCTAAATTGCCAGTGCCACCCTACAGTCATCCAGTGAATGATGTTTGTGCATTTCCAAGTCACCATCGGTTAACTAGGTTCACGCTGGAAAAACGAAATTCGGTCTGACGTAAACCCTAAAGACAGCAGATTCGGCTTCTTTTGTATAGAAGCCTTAGAAAAATCTCCTAACCTCCTAGATTCAGAAATGATTCTGAAGCATGCCCCGTGAAGTAAAGTTTACCAGGGTGTTGGACGCTTAGGTCACATGCCTTGTTCATTGCTCGAATCTCACAATCTCTTGGGCGCAGCGCGATGTCAGGAATATTCTTCTGAGTTAGAGAATGCTATGTTTTTCCTGGCCTGACGGAAGTTGCTATTTTTCACACCAGTCAAGCAGATTACTGAAATCAGGTTGAGACGTTGATGGGCCTCCAGCAGTTGCATCGTAATGGAAACTGAGCCCGAACTTAAAGATACTACACGTCCTCCATAAATGGCAACCTTAAGTGTATCAGCAATACGCCTCACTGTTCACCAGCGAAACATCCACTGGAACTCATCGACTCACACAATATAGAAGTAGGAATTTCGACAAACTATTTAGGAGAGCTGTCGATCAGATGTATTTTTTTATGCACTGTTTAGTTTTGATGGTGAGATATACTGACAGAATGATGGGATTGTAATGAAAGTCCCACTGGGGCCCCTAGTGGCAGTTTACTTCATGTAAAAAAATTCTATTTTCAGCCGAACTATTAGACATATTGACGTCTATAAACGATATACGGATGATATATTCGTTATTAGCGACTCAACTATCGATCTGAAATGCATTCTACACGAGTTGAACGATTTTCACCCGGCGTTGGAACTCGGTATTGAAAAGGAACTGGAATCAGCTTTTCCTTTCCTTGACATGCTGACTACGAGACGCAAAAGTAGGATGCTGAAAAGATCCATCCGCAGGAAATCCACATGGAGTGGACGGCATACAAATTCCTATAGCTGGGTGATCATGAGGAAGAGAAGCCTCATTCACCCTATCTGCCATCGAATAAGTAAGTTTTGTAGCACGAAATGTGTTCAACTCGAACTTCACTTTCCGAGAGGCACGCTCGCGGAAAAAGGCTATCCTAACCGATTTATCGATAAGAATATACGAGAAAGACATTCCGAAACGATCGCCAGCTCAGATTCTGAAAGGACTTTGTTCATGAATCTGCACCTCAAAGGTTATGCAGCAGCAGACATCCCGAAAAAGTTTCTTCCCATATCCCCACCCAAACTTAACTTGGTCCTTACCAGTCGTAAGTTGTTCTGCGTCCGTATAAAGGACATTATACCTCG